AGCTACAGTCGATACGCTTCGCACCGTCATTCATCGTCTAGGGATTCCAAAAGAATTAGTTTCGGATAATGGAACTCAATTCCGATCGGCCGAACTAGCAAAATTCTGCAAGGAATACGGAATAAAACATACGTTTACACCACCGTTCCATCCGCAATCGAATGGACAAGTAGAACGTTTTGTGGATACATTCAAGAGAGGCATGAAGAAAGCTAAAGAAGATAAATTTTGGTGCGAGAAGATGCTACTTGCATATCGTTCTACACCACATACAGCTTTAAATGGATGCTCTCCTGATCAGCTATTTCTAGGTCGACGCTTGAGAACGAAAATTTCACTAGTTCATCCAGAAGGATTGAAATTAAAAAAGACGAAATTTTCTGCTTCTGAGAGAAAAGAATATACTCAGAAGATGGCAAAGCAATTCGACAAGAAACATGGGTCTAAGAACATTGAATTCAGCAATGGAGAAGCTATCTATGCGCTTAATTACAGATTTGGAAAAACGCATTGGCTTCCAGGAGAAATTATTTCAAAAGTTAAGAATTCTCCAACTTACCGAGTCTCGATTCCCTCGATAGGAAGAAACGTTCATCGCCACTGCAATCAGCTTAGAAAAAGATTACAAGTGATTGAAACAGAAGTTATGGCGCATGAAGATCAAGAAGTGCAACGCCAAGCTAGGACTCCCATTCAGAAAAGTCCGGCTAAAGAAAAGAATAATTCCGAGACTAGGCGTCACCAAATCGAGCGAGACCAGAATGTTCAAAAGACTCCCAAACGTTATCCCAATCGAGACCGAAGACAAGTCCACCACTTTGACATGGACCCAAAGAAGAAGAGATATGAAAAGGGAGATTAAAAATCTTAAGAAGGGAGATGTTAGAGATGTGAGACTCTAAAGAACAAAATTTGAATTGACCTAATCGACATTATGACATATTCCCTTCCCGCTCATTTATGTGTATTTAAGCATTTCCCTTTTCCCTCTTTTTGTTCGTTGTCTTTTCTCAGTCTCATTCCCATATTTATTAAGTGACTCGGTCACAATCAAATTGTTTATTTTATTTATTTAAAATAAACTTTATTATTATTCTTAAATTGTGTTATTGGGGAGAAACACAACACGAACTAAACTGACCTTCTGGACTTGAACGACGAGAAGATCTTTGGGATGATCCACCACGTCCTGTTATGCGACCGATAAATGATGTTGGAGCATCGCGTTCAGCTGACGTGATGACAGCAGAATATTTGTGGTTGTGTCGGTGGAAATTCATGTTTTTCTGGATGATCCTTGTCACATCGGCTGGAAGACTATCAGAGCTGACCTTCGGAATCGGGCGCGCTACTCTGATGGTTAGGTTGTTGTTGTTTATTCCTTCAAGTATTGCCGATTTTACGCTCTTAGTGTCTTCCACCTTTTTGCCATTCACACGCGTTATTACGTCCCCATAATGAAAGTTACCATCGGCAATTGATCCAGCCTCAGTGCCGCAGATTGTGACGTTATCCTGAAATTAACAAGATACATTTTGATTTTAGCGCTAAAGCGCTCACCTGAACTTCTCTCATGTTCACCCCAAGAGGCATACCGCCTCGCCGCCATTTAATCTCAAAGTCGAACAGCTCCCATTCATCTTTGCCTTGATATTCTCCCTCTAGCTTCCTGATTGTGATCCTGTAGAAAGTGTCACGACGAACCTGGATTCTTAATTTCTCAGGTTCCCTGATGCTTACTCCCACGATCCGGTAAAAGTCCTCGGCTGTTGTTATTTCCTTAAAAAGAAAAAGACATTAAAAAAGGGGTCCAACTTTTGCTTTGCCAATACCTCATCATTCAATCGGATAATCTCATCGCCAACGTAGATACGCCCATACAAATAGGAGTCGAAGCTCATTTTACGCACCCTGGGTGGCCTGCTTCCCTCAACGAACTCGACTCTGGGCTCTGTGGACCGGCGAGTGACTTGGACGCTTACTTCGGTGATCGACCCTGAGAATAAAAGAAAAGATAGGCGTTAAGATAAATTTATAATGGCAAAAGCTAACCACGTATTGACATGGCAAATCGGCACCAAACAGAAGATTTGTTAAAAAGCAGCACACAGAAGAAAGCAGCGGCAGAAACAGCAGTTAACTTAAGATTAGTAAACAGAAGTCCACTGCTTTTATAATACATCTATTTCGGAGAAAAAATGCGAATATCAAAAACTATAAAAACAGGTTATTTTTCCAACGTAACAACCTCCGCCCAGATCAACCAACAATTGCAACGCCGCTGCTGCTCAACAAGTCTACTGCCGCTACTTTCGTCTACGTCGCTGCTGTTCAACAAGTCTCCTGCCGCTACTGTCGTCTACGTCGCTGCTGCACAACACCACCAGTCGCAATGTCAGTCCGAAGTAAGTTGGAACTTTTTTCGATTTTGCTTAATCTCTAAGTCAATTGGCGTTTACTTTTCAGGCTCGGTCAGCGAGATAAACGTCGACGTCAAGCGCAAGCAATATGACCCCAGGATCGAGTTCGTTGAGAGGAGCAGGCCGCCGAAAGTTAAGAAAGTGGGCTACAACTCCTACCTGAATGGCATTCTCTACGTTGGTGATGAGGTCATCGGGCTGAATGACGAGGTATCTGCGAGAGGAAGGCAAGGCTTTTAATGCTTATCAAAATTTTTACAGGAGATCCGGACAGCAGATGACTTCAACAGGATCGCTTGTGCTCGCAGTACTGAACCAGTCAGGCTCCGAATCCGAGTGCGCCGGGACTGCTACTACAAGATCACCATCAAGAGGGTGGAAGGCGAACAAGGCAATGGGGAGGTGCTGGACTTGGAGATCAAATGGCGACGGGGCGGTATGCCTCTAGGAGTGAGCATGGAAGAAAGTCGGGTGAGTCGATCGGGTTTGGTTTAATGGGTTTGAGGGTTTTTTAAAATTACAGGGCCGAATCACAATTGGCGAAATACAGGCCGGATCAATTGCTGATGGCAACTTCCACTATGGGGACGTAATGACGCACGTTAATGGCAAAAGGGTGACGGACATCAAGAGCGCAAGACCTGCAATTCTGGAAGCGATAAACAACAACAAAAGCCTAACCATCCGTGTGGAGCGCCCGGAACAATTGGGGGAAGTTTCTCATCTTCCGGCAGACGTGGCCAAAATCATCAAGCGACAAATCAACTTCCATCGCCATGCACATAAATACTCCGCGTGCATCACCTCAGCTGAACGGGAAGCGACAACATCTTCTATCCTGAGTAGAATTACCGCAGGACTCACCGGGAACACATCAAGCAGATCTTCTCGTCGCTCCAGTCCAGAAGGTCAGTTTGCATTCGCAAATAAATATTTCTAATTTTAATTGAAAACTTTTTTTTCAGTTGGCACTGCCAGAGTCACGATTCAGCGAGCATCCTCATCAGACGTTAGGCCAATTCCGGCAGACAGTACAGCTGACTTGAAGCGAACGCCACCACGCCCTGGTTCACAATAAGCAGATTGGCCTGGAACCCAAAGTGAGGAGAAAACAAGCAGTGTTCGATGAAAGAAGGAAGTGTGATAAATAATGTTGATATACCTGTATTTTTTAATGTTTTGTATCTCATGATTGTATATTTAATTATGTTCGATTTTTGTTGTTGTAAATTTGTATGTTTTGGTTGGTAAAATAATAAATGTTTATTTTCGAGTTGTTTTCTGGAATTTCTTTAGGCTTTGAATAATTTCCTCAACCATTAAACCCTTCTAGCTCTTAGAAACCTTTTGAGGTTTAGGGAACTTTTTTGATTAAGGAAATCAATATCCAAACATGTTTTGCTTTTCCATGCCCAAATCTCTTGAAATTTTTGAGTTTCTGCTACCTACTTAGTAAACAACAAATCTTGTTAACTAATAAAAACTTCCAACTATCATGTACAAAAAAATTTAAGCCTCACAAGAGCAAGGCAATTCCAAAATTTATCCCAAGCAGCCACCCATACAAGGGGCTGGAGTTTTTATCTACCTCAAACTTGGGTATTTAAACCGACGACTGCAGCAAAAGCAAATTATACAAGCAAAAAGAATTTATAAATTTCAGACGTGATATAAAATAAACAAAATATTGGAATAAAGATTCAGAGACAAAGACAACCGCAAATACACTCTCTTCCTTTATTGTTTCTCTAATTGTGTGTGCGCTCTTTAGTGCTCTTTAATGCGAGGGAAAAATGCCCACTTGGAGTAAAATAACGAATAACCTAAACTAGTGTAATTACAAAATGGTCAGAAGGACAAATTATTTAAAAATGTCACATTGAGTCTTCATTGTACTCTCTCTTATTGAGGGTTATCTTTCTTACAAAACTACTTTAAAATCTTTTCAATTTTTAAAAATTTATTCAAAATAATGATTAAAAATATTTTATATTTAAATTATTGGAGATTTGACCACTTTTAGCGGAAGAATAAATAAAAAATAATTTTTTGTTTAGCTATTTTGAGGGTATTTTCACTCAATTTTAATAAAATATTTAATTGCTTGTCGCACAAAATAATAAATATTTTTATTGTTATTCAATGAAAATCCTCTCTCTTTTTTTACAAAAAAAGTGGCAAAGGTCATAATCATCAACAGAGAATTATTATTTCCCCCCTCCATTATTTACTCTTTTTTTAGTAAAATTATTGTTGTATGCCGATTTGGTCAGCGGTCACAAAAATATTTATAAAAAAATTTTCTGTATATCAAACTAAAAATATAAAATTATTATTTTATTCTGACAGAAATTCCCCGGAAATCTTTAATTCAAAATGCCATTAAAGAAATTAATTTAATTTTAAAGGAAATAAAAACTCGCTTTATTAAAGACGCTCGATATAGGAGACTTTTATTAAATTTTAGGGGTCAACCAAAAAGATTTTTCGCTCCGGTTTTGGATATCTGAAGAATTATTGAGAATTTAGATATAACCCTATCTTTATTAAATCTTTTTAATTTAAAAGTTTTGTAAAAAAATGTTCTTCTTAATTAATTACAACTTTAAATATTTAATTAAATTTATTTTTATTGTTTTATTTAATATTGTAAATCAACTAAATTATTTGGATGGCCGTTTGCTAGATACTTCTGTTGCTTGTGATCAAGTATATTTTCAAAAAATTCCAAAATCTCCCCTTTTCACAGCACAATTTTCTTCTTTCACTCAATTTCGATGTCCCTTTCCGCGGTTTAGTTTATAGCGAAGAGGGCTTGCCCAATTGTATTTATGTCAACGGAACAATGCTTTCTCAATTAAATTATCATTTAAAAGTTCCTTTAAATGGGTGTGAAACAAAAATAAATTTGGATGGAAATTTTGAGAATGGAGTTATTATACAAGAAAATATTGGGTTTTTACAAGCTAGTGATAAGTAAATTTATTTTATAAGTTTAAGTTTGGGGTAAAAATTTAAAATTTTTTTTAAGAATTTGTAGAAAAGAAATTTAATTGTTAATTAAACCAAGAAAAATTAAAAGACCCCAAAGGGTATCGAACCTAGTTAAAAATCGAGACCAGCCAAGAACGCTAACCAATACACCACACGACTCGCTTAACGGTTCCACTTAAAGCTTGCATTTATAGTCAATGAGAAAAATATATTTTCTGAATAGAATCATTGAAAAAATAAGAGCCTTAAGAAAGAAATCATAAAAAAAAAATAAATAAAAAATTCATTTTAAAGAAAATATTTGCTTACATGTATTCCTTCAAGTCCTTTAATAAATCCTCAAACAAATACAAGTACAACAACAATTACCCCTTTACCTCCCCCTTTATTAACTACAAAAAGTTCTTCTTTTACTACAACTACTATAGCTTTTGGAGAAGAAAATGAAGCTATTAATGTTGATTTAAATGAATTGAGGTTTAAATTGTTTAAAAAATTTAGGTGTAGAAAGGGAGAGAATTGGAAATTGTTGAGAATTTAATGGAAGACTTTCTAGGGGAGTTTAAAATGATGTCGGGGAAGTTGAGATAAGAAAATGTGGGGGGATCGAAAGTCTTTGAGATATTTATCTCGAAGTTCCGCCAATTCCCAAGTCTTAATCCCCAGCCAGAACACTTTCTTTTCACTAGAGAAATATTTATAATTTTACTTTAAAAATTCCTCCTTAATTTTCAGTTCAAAACCAAAAGAATATTTTACTTCCTCTACCTCTTCATTAAATCCCACACAACAACAACAAATCCCTTCATTGGATGAACCGACAATAATTAATAAAAATTCTGAATTAAAATATTCTGTAGAAATAAAATCTGGACATAATTTTGAAGAATTTTCTTTGGATTCTAATAATTTAATGCCTGTTGGGGCTTCTTTAAATATTGGGGATCCGATTGTAAAAATATTTTTTTTGAAAAATTTCAAAAATTTTTAAAAAATTTTTTTGAAAATTTTGAAAATTTCCAAAAATTTTTTGAATTTTTTTCGAAATTTTTTTTGAAATTTTAAAAATTTTTTAAAGAAATTTTTTAAGAAAATTTTCAAAAGTTAAAAAAAAATTTTCTTAATTCCAAAAAAAATTTTCAATTTCAAGTCATATCTTGTACGTATCCAAAAACCAGTTAGCGATTCACAAATCGGTCGGTGTTGGGCTACTGACTCAAATTCTTCTTTGGAATTAAGTGATGAAAGGGGGTGTTCTTTACAACCTAAAGGTCCGTTTGAATTCAAAATTATCCCAAAATTTCCCTTTAATTTAAAGGAAATATTTGGGGAGCTTTTGAAAGAGTAGAAACTCAGGAAGAAGTTGTATTTATTAATAGAATAAAAGCTTGGGCCTTTCCGACAAGGTAATTAAATTGTCTTTAATGGAAAGGTTTATACAGGGTTGGCAGATATCGATATCCGAAGATTTTTCAGGATCTGCCAACCCCTACCTTCATAGGATTTCACCAAGTAGAAGGATATAATGGAACAAGTTAAGACGTGTTCCTAGAGGGGGTGGGCCGGGTTGAGAAACGTCGGATCGAGTTTCGGCGAAAAAATCCGGTTTGGTAGTATAAATCGGTATTTAAAAAAATCCTGGATCTGGATTTAGGTAGGTTAGTAACCTGGACAAGATTCTTGATCTGGATCCAGGAAAAATCTAGACTGGATCGAGACTACTTATCTCTGTTCCTAGAGGTGCTAAAAGGGGTGGGTACCCGAATAAGTCAACATTTTTATTCTTAACTTTTTTTAAGTAATGAAGTAAATATTTTTTGTAATTTGCGTATTTGTATGTCCAAACATTGTTCTTTTATTACAAATTGTTCAGGTTTTTTTGGGTTAAAAATAATTTTTAAAATTAAAAAAAGAATTAACTAGACAACGAAGAAATGATGAAAATAATAATAATGGAATATTGGAGGAAATAGAAATATTAAAAACTTTAATTAAATTAAATAGAAATAAAAGAAATATTCCTTCTTTAATTTTTGAAAATAATTGTAATAAACAAAAAGAAATTTTAAATGAAGAAGAAAATAATTGGTTATGGTGTATTTCTTTAACTGAAATGTTTATTGTTTGTGTTTGTTGTGGGTAAGTTTACGAAGGAGAATTTATTTTTTAAATTAGAGAAGAGAGATTTTTTGGTGTTTTTAAATGAATTGAAACGGGAGAGCATTTTAGACCCCCTTTAAACGTAGAAAATTCGGCTCTATCTGAAAGGAGGTGCGGGATATTTTTTATATTTTTATTATTTCCTCCTTCCTTCGCTAGTCAGTCTACCTTTCATTTTCCCTTAATATAAAAAAATAGTCAGCCCTTAATTTTCCCAATACTTCAATATTTTATTTTTAACTCGTTCTTAAACTTTGCAACAAAGGCACAAGGAAATAAAAATTTAGGTGACTTTATAACTCACAAGAGACCCAACTAGGCCTATAAAAATAAATTTTTTATTTAAATAATTAAATAAAATTTATTTTTTTCAGATTAATTTCCATATTAATTGCGGCAATTACAAGTTATATAATTTTTATTTGGATTAAAAAAATTAATTTAAAAGAAGAAACAAAAACAGAAAATAATATTTGGTGGTCATTTTTAGATGGAATTAATACTAAAAAAGAAAAAAGACAAAATTTAACTCTTTCACGATATTTTGTTTAAATTTAAAAATTATTATAAAATTAATTTTTAAAGTTTTCTTGTTTTAGAAGGGGAAGGGAATGAAAGTTAAGGACTTTCATAAAATTTAAAAATTAGTAAAATTAGACGTGAGCCGTCGTCTCGTATTTAACTTTCCTATTTACTCGGCAAGTAAAATAAATTAATTTAAATATTGGAGATTTTATTTAAATAGAGATCAAAATAAATTAAACAAATTGAGAGGAGATTATGTAATAATCAAAAAAATATGAGAAAATTTCTCATTAAAATAATTAAAGGCATACACAAGAAGAAAAATGCTTCCCAATTTAAATAGGTTAAAGAAAGCTTTTTTTGGAAGAATAATCAAAAAATCGAAATAAATTTCCCGTAAAAATGGAGGAAAATTATAAGGGAGCCCCAAAAGTCCAAAAACTCTTAAGTGTACCCTTATGTGTAAAATTAAATTAATTGTAAATATTAAAGTTGTTGGCGACCGGTTTTAAAACCGGAATTTTTGAAATTTTTTGTCAAAAATTAACCGTTTTTAGAAAATTTTATAAACCGAAATTTTTGAAAATAGGTGATTTTATTAAAAATTCACCCTAAATAAAATCGGTATTTGCCTAAAACTCAAAACCGAAAACCGGGTTTTTAAAATTTGGATTAACCGAAAACCGGGAGCACCGGTTATTAACCGGTTGCCAACAACCCTAGAAAATTCATTTAAATAACCTTCTTATTCTCATTAATTCTTCTTCCATTTTCCCATTGTTCTTTCAAAATTTTAGCAAAAACTTCCCTTTTTAACAATTTATAAGTAACTTCCAAAACACTTTTAGTCATTGCATCAAAACACTCATAATTTGAAATAAACAGATTATGCCCAAATTCAAGTCCCATTCCAAAATCCATTTCGTCGTTTGCAATCTTTTTTTAAAAAAAGGAAATTTTTTAATAAAAAATTCAAAGAAACCGTAACGTAAGTATAAATTTGTAATAATTGTTGTTTTAATTTTGCTTTGTGTGTCTCATCTTTTGTTGTTGCAAAATCAATTAAATCATTTCGTAATTTTTCTTAAATTTTTTTAAATTAAATTTTTGAAAAATAAATTTATTTTCTTAAGAATGTTGAGTATTTTTAATTAAATTAGGTGCAGAATGAAAAATAAACGTCAGAAAAAATTAAAAAATAATTTGGTAATATTGAAGTTTACAGGCCCCCTTTTTCCTCCCCATGTTTTTACTTAAAATGTAGTACATTGGTCAGACTTCCTTAATTTCATTTTTAAAATCAGTCGCTGCAAAAAACTTGAGAAGGAGAAATCACGAACTGTCAGTCAAAACTTTGTATTTTTTTTGTACCAATCGATAGACTTTAAAACCCCATAACTTTTTAGTTTCATATTCCTATCCAAAAAAGCCAGAAATCTGCAAGAGTAAATCGATGATGCTCTATCGATTGGTACCAAAAAAAGTACAGAGTTTTGACTGACAGTTCGTGAGTTCCCCCTTGTGAGAAGGAAGGAAAAGTCTGTAAACGTGAATATTAACAATAATTTAATTATTTTTGGAGGCTACCTTGACCTAATTTTAATTAAAAATACTTTTGGACCGATTCGAGTCATTTTAGAAGTCTTAATAAAATACTTAATTTTAATTCAAAAAATGATAAAACAAAAAACAAACTTGTATTTTCTGTAACAGGCCTATATCCACAATCCCCAACAATTTCCACTTTAATTCCCAATCCATGTAGAGGTTCTCCAACCTTTAAAAATTTAAAATTAATCATTTACAAAAAAAACTTCCAAACCGTAATTTCTTTCCTATTTTTCCTCAATTCTTCCAAAAATTTCTTTTGTTGATAAACCTTCCATTTTGACATAATTTCTGATTGATTTTCAATTTTTTTAAAAATATTTTCAAATTTTTTTTTCAAACAAGCCAAAAAAGTCAAAGCAGAGAGGGGATCACCATTTCCAGCAATTGTAAAAGTTGGAAAATTTGGTGAATTATTTGAAATATTAATAATTAAATTAGGCTCTTCATTAGGCAAATCACGCCAAAAACAAAAACGGCCTCCTTTATAAATTGCAAAAGTTTGCATTTCTGGTAAGTCGGTAGAGAAACGGTCAACAAGTAAATAATTATTGTTTTTGTTTTCTTTTGATTTTGAATAAAAGTCATTTAAATAACGAAATGGACCAACAAGTTTGAGAGAATTAAGTGAATTAAATGCTTCTGAAAAGAAAAAAATAGATTTTAAAGAAAAATGAAGTGCCGGGTATGGCTCAGGAAGCCAGCTCCAGAGCAAGCCCAGGCCTGAACCGTAGCTAAAATTTTAAAAATATGGAGCCGGAGCCAGAAAATGCCCAATACCCAACACTGGAAATGAATCAAAATAAATACCAGTTGGAGATTTTGGGTCAATTGAGATAGACATATTCCAAAAGTCTACAATGACGGAAGAATGCTTAACCAAATAAATATTGTCCAATTGAGTGATTAAATTAACGTCATCATTTCTCTGAAAATAATTTCTTTGGAATCAAATTGCTATTTAATTTTTTAAAAATTAAAACAAACTTTGCTCGTTTTTGACTTTTTAACTGCACAAGATTCGTGTGGAATGTTCTCTTTTTGTCGTTTAGTCTTCATTATAATATTATAAAAATGCAAATTGTTTTAAAATATATTCGAAAAATTCTGAAAAAAAAATTTAAAAATATGAGCAAAAAATAGAAAAAATATAAAAAAGAAAAAAACTTTTTAATATGAAAAAAAACTAAAATAAATATTTATTAAAAATAAACAAATAAAAAATTTATCTAACTTAAAATAAATTTATAAAACTACAAAATTTCCATTTTAACTTTTCTTTTATCAAGAGGAGCAAAAGGATTTTCTCTATCATAAAATTTTTTCAATAAAGAAATTGATTTTTCTGTACACACTTCTGGTACTAACTAAGAAAAATTTAAAAATAAAACCTAAAAACGATCCAGAAAAACCTCAATTTCGTGTTCATGTCCATAATCTTTATTACTAGCAACACTTAAAATTCCACCAAAACGAAGATTTTTTGCCCCAAATAAAAGTCTTTTAATTTTTAATTGATAAAGGGCACTTGAACACATGATACAAGGCTCTAAACTAACATAAACGGTTGTTTGTTCCATAACCTGAAGAGAAAAATTTTAAAATTTTTTAAACAAAAAGGCGATTCTACTCAAATTTTTGCATTCCCTAAATTATTTATACGTTGAATAAGGACATTGAAATTATTTTTAAACACGTTAACTTTTCCTTATAACTTTTCGAAATGGAGGTCAGGGCCAAAAAAGCCAAAAACTAGCAATAGGTTATCGACCCAGCTCTACACAATGGTGCAAAAAATAGAAATTCTTGGTTATAGTTCGATATATCTCCTTGTTAGAAGTTATCGTTGTAAAGCAAAAACTGGTGGGACGCCTAAACTTAACAAAGTCAAAAATTAAATAACCTCTTGAAAATCTGTTCCATTTTGACAACACCAATCATTTGCTTGATCCATAGCAACAAATTCAGCATGTCTAGTAGGATTTTTTGTTCTAAAATTTAAATTAAGATTTCAAAATATATTTACTTGTTCACTTCATTATGTCCCCTTCCAATAATTAAACCATCAAAAACAAAAACACAACCAACAGGAACTTCTTGTAGATCATAAGCTTCTTGTGCTAGACGAAACGATTCATTGATAAATAATAAATCAGAAGCCTCCATTGTCGAATAAAAAAATTTATGAAGAAAAATTTTTAGAAAATTTTTATTTAGTTTGGCATTATGTAATTAAAACTGAAAAGAAATAGTGTATAAAAATAAGAGAATTGGCGGGCAAAAAATTTAAGAAATTTTTTAATGGACACGGACACTTAGTCGCGACCACTTAGTCGCGAAGTAGCTAAAAAGCTATCGAGTATTTGTAAGTGTTGTGTATCGAAACCCACAAACAGAAATCGACATAAAACCCACAGACTACTACAAATAACGGGGGACATCAACGGGGATGATATTCCAACAAATAGGGAAGGTTGTTCCGACAGCAGAGGAAGTTGTTCCAACAACAGATTTGTTAGAATGTTTTATATTTAATAAATTTTGATGAAAACTGACTTTTAAAAATCGGCTTGCGCAGTCTTGGCTTAAGTTTTAAGCGACCTGAAAAAAGGACACTTCGCGACTAAGTGGCCGGCGACTAAGTGGGCTGGCGACTAGGTGGTCGCGACTAAGTGGGCTTTACCCCTATTTCTTTTTTGCTAGTTTGTAGCGGCGTTGATTTTTTATTTATAATTTGTCTGCTTTTATTTTTTTTTTGAAAAAATTATTTTACAAATTTAGGATTTAAATTTTCAAAAATGGGCAGTGAAGTGAATAAAGTTGATAATGGAAGAATCCCTCATGATTCTGAAGAAAATGAAGAAAATAAGATGCCTGTAAGGAGACTTCGAAGGATAAGGGATATATTCGTGTCTAACAAAAATAACGATAAAGTCTCACTTAAAAAATTTGGGAATTCTTTAAATCTTTTTTCAGTTTGTTCTTGTAACTGACCAAACAACAAAAGAGACTAAGGGGATTCAACTCTCATCTGATGGGACTTTAGCCTTCTCTTCGCTTGAGTATGTTTTTCCTGGATGTTGGGGCTTGGAGTATTCCATTCCAAATATTGGCGACAATTGCGTTGTTCCGTATGATTATTAAAGATAATTTAAATACATGTCAACTTATTTAGATTTAATGATAAGAAAATGGTTTTTACGGCACCTTCTGGCGGCTGGACGGGGAAAGACTTTCAATTAATTTATCAAAAAAAGGTTGTCATTTCTGTGACTGACCAAATTACAAAAAAGACGTGGAGTATTCAACTCTCCCCTTATGGGACTTTGGCACTCTCTTCGCTCGAGCAAGTTTTTCCTGGATGTTCGGGCTTGAAGTATTCCATTCCAAGTATTGGCGACAATTTCGTTGTTCCGTATGATTATTAAAGATAATTTAAATACATGTCAACTTATTTAGATTTAATGATAAGAAAATGGTTTTTACGGCACCTTCTGGCGGCTGGACGGGGAAAGACTTTCAATTAATTTATAAACAAAAGATTCCTCCCATTCCTCCCGTTGTTATTTCTGTGACTGACCAAATTACAAAAAAGCCGCGGGGTATTCAACTCTCCCCTGATGGCACTTTGGCATTCTCTTCGCTTGAGCGTGTTTTCCCTGGATGTTGGGGCTTGGAGTGTTCCATTCCAAGTATTGGAGAGAACTGCGTTGTTCCGTATGATTATTAAAGATAATTTAAATACATGTCAACTTATTTAGGTTTGATGATAAGAAAATGGTTTTTACGGCACCTTCTGGCGGCTGGACGGGGAAAGACTTTCAATTAATTTATCAACAAGAGCTTCCTCCGGTTGTTAAAGCGTCGCCTGGTTAGTTTATTAAGATTTGAATTTGTTGAGCTTTTACGTCTTTTTGACTAAATTTTTTGATACTTGTGTTTGCACTAAACTAAGTAAATTTATTTTAGACACTCGTAAACTTGTCAAACCTTATAAATATGTGCATGGTAACTTTTTGTTTTAATGAATATTCTCTATCAAATTTTAGGTGATTTGCCTAAATTTGACGAATTGTCTGAGTACCTTTTCTTCATTATTGAGAGTGATCGCACCAAGTCATGTGTAACGTCGATAACCAAGCATTATTTTGTCACGTTTTACCACAGTCATGAAACCTGGAAAATTGGAGATCCATTTGAAATTTATCGACATGATTCCAAATCTGGCATTAACAACAAACAATTTTTCATTGCCACAGTTAAAAGCATCAACAAAAAGATGGATTTTATATTGTTAAAAACCGATGACGAAATAAACGACCATAAGCCGTTTTATTGCAAGCCTCCGTTTAGAAGCTTGCCTGTTGGTTACTATGGATATGGAAATGACCTCAACACTCTTTCTTACTGTGAGGGTGTTATACACGCTGATGAGTTACAATTTTTTAGGGAAAAAGGTTTATATGACTTTTAAATGTATTACATTTCTTATCTTGAAATTAAAGGCGTCGTTTATGGTCCTTTCTTGTTAGGGACTATCAAATCAACAGGAGGCGATTCAGGAGCGGCTGTCTGGAGTCCTGAGGGTCTTGTCGGTTTGAATCTAGGATTTGTCGATTTTACTGCTAACATTGCCAAGTCTGCACCTTCAATGGAACAGCAACTAGTCGACTATGATAAAAAAAACTTCATTGTGACTATTGACCGTATAATGGAGCAATTAGGGGTTTGATTATTTTTAAATAAGGCAGATTGAACTGAGAAGTAAGGCAAATTAGAACTTCATTTTTTTAAATTCTTTTTTCTTGGGAGGTACGTGTATTCCCGATTTATTACAATTTAATTTATCATAAAGTTGTAAATTTTAGGAACTTGAAACAAAACCGGCTGTACCTGCTTATACTGCTAGAAGTCTTCTAGGAGTCGGTGTTCAATGTGATTTTAGTGATATTTGACTTTAAATTCTCATTTAATTTATTTAATGTCTATACATTTATTTACTTATAAATTTGACTGCCTTTTATGTTTTTAAAAAATATTTGTTTAATTTCAAACTTACATTTTGCCGTTCATACCTTTTTCTATTGGGGATTTTAATTAGCATAAAAATTGGTCGTAGGTTCTGAGGTGAGGGGATTGTCATGAGACAATTTCATACGACAAGTTGGGCTGTACCCAACCCGCTGTGGGGCCGTACCCATTTTTTAAAACTGACCCTTGTATTTATTAAAATTCAGCTGTTAACAATGTAAAAAAAATTTTTGGAACAGTATTATATTAAATGAAATTAGCTGCAACAATAATTCGACTTAAAATTGGAGATGAAATTGATGTCCGTGCAAACAGTCCTTCAAACGACAACAACAACGAATTGCCTGATCCATCAAATATTTACACTTATATGTTGGGTAGATTTGCTAGAATAACTGGACTTGAACATGATAATTTGTGTAAATATTTTGAATTTAGCAGGTGTTTAACAAGTAATTTTTTTTAATTTATGATAATAAAATATTCTTTGCCTGGGTTGGGAGATGCATCCCATTAGAATGTGTGCCTTTTTGAAGAGTAGATTTTTGAAAAGTTCCGTATTACCTTTGATATTTAGGACATTTTTTTTTTGAATTTTAGTTAATTTCCGTGGTTAATAATTATTGACACTAGAGACCGGACTGAGAGTGTCGTACGAGAATCGAGATCTCGATAACCGAGATTTTCGATCGAGATCTCGTTTCAGTCACGTCTCTAATTGATACTTTTAAGTTTAGTTTGTTTTTTGTCAACACTTAAAATCCTGATAAATCTTCATTTAACTAAGTCACCCATCTAATTTCTATTTTTTAGTACCCAACGGATATGCACTTCTTTCTGAACATTATTCTGACCCTTATTTTCGAGATGATGGATTTTTAAATAACAAGTATTCTTTTTTTATTTTTTAGTATTTTTTTTATTTTTAGATTAGGTAATCAAAATTTACAATCGGTTTTTTCTGTGTCAATTCAAGTTTGTTCAGCTTTGGAATTTTGTCATAAAAATTGTTTTGCAATTGGATCCTTAAGTTTAGATAAATTATATGTTGTGCCCAAAAAGGAGAATGAGGTTAATTTTGAATTAATTTTGAATTTTCTTTAATTCTCAGAAAATTCATGTAAAACTCTCTCAATTTGGCCTTTGTTTTATTTCTGGAATTTATTACCACAAACTTCTATCTTCCAATGAATTTCCTTTGTATTTGGCGCCTGAACTTTTGTTAAATTTACTTCCACAAGGATTAGACCATTCAAATTATTTTTGTGTGGATATTTGGTCTTTTGGAATTTTATTGATTGAATTATTTACTGGATGGAGATTTTCTGAAGTTTTTTGTAATTTTTTTTTAATTTTAGAATTTTTTCTAAAAACAATTTTTAGCTCGACGGCAAATTTCCGACGTTTTAGCAACTTTACTTGTTAAAGGTTTTTTATTCTCTAATTGATTTATTAGCAAAAATTATCAGAAAATGAAGGCTCTATTCTTCCTCAACTTCTAAACAAAATAAAAAATGTTTGCCCAGCATTTGCCAAAAGACAAAATTCTTTAAATTCAGTTTATCAAATTATTCTAAATTGTTTAAATATTCAACCTTCTAAAAGGCCAAATTCTACAAATTTATTGAAAATGCTTAAAAAGGCCGCAATTGACGCTAATATTGGTGAAATTGATGGGAATGACAATAAAAGTAGTTTTATTGATTTGGATGAGGAAATTGACCAAATTAAAGGTTTTTAAGTTTAAAATATTTTTTTAATTTGAAAAAATTTCAGAACGTATAAAAAATGAAAATCAATTTGAGAGGTTTGGTTTTAGTCAAAAAGTATTAAATGAACTTTTCTTTCTTTGGAAATTGTGTGGAAGCAGTTTTGAAACAATATTATTACGTAAAGGATTAATTAAAACCCAACCACCTATTTTGACTTTACCAAGGTTTTTTTGAAAAATATTTTGTTTTCTTATTTATTTTTAGTCTTATTATTGAAAACTTTCATATGTTTGGTATAAATGAGACCGATAGGAGTATTTTGCCCGTTTGTATTTTTGAATTACCTATGAAAAATTTAATTCAGGTTTTTTTTAATTAATGAATAAAATTAAATTTTTTAGCGTTTAAACGATTTAAACTACTCAAAACGTTTTATTACATTAGAATTTAAAAGAGAACAAGAAGAAATTAGCAATGGAGGAAATACAACATTTGATTCTAAAAGTTTTAGAGAAGACGAAGAAACTTGTGTAATACAATCATTACTTGTTAAAGAGAGGGATATTGAATATCAGGTTTTTTTCTAGAATTTTTTCAATTCTTTGGTCTAGTTATTTTAGTAATCGGAGCCTGGGTAGGGGCTACAGGAGTAGGCCGACTTACCGCGAGCTAAACGTAACGAGAGCTATAACTTTTTTCAAAATGGTCGAATCCGGGACGCCCTGATATGTTTCGATTCGCCTCGACGAGTTGAATCGAACTATACCAAAGCGTTCCGGATTTGACCATTTTGAACGAAGTTATAGCGTTACGGTGTACCTGTAGGGCTACAGTTTATTTCGATTTTTAATTCTGTCCATCAAAAATTCGATTTTCTATTTTACCTTATTTATTTTTTAGTACCAAAGAATGCGTTTATTTCGCCATTTGCTTGCTGCTTGGCCTAGCAAATCAGAATTATTGCGTGCTGAGAGTTGTCACGACATCCCTCCCGTTTATCGTGGCGCTGTTTGGGCTGCAATTCTGGGTGTTTTGCCTTTTAATAAAAACGGAGAGAATTTTGATGATCATTTATGGCAGAGTTTTTATTCTTTGGACACTTTTTCTGAACATATATCTGACAGACAACTTCAAGTTGATATTCCTCGATGTCATCAATATGACGAATTGGTTTGTTTTAATTGAAAATTTTTTAAAATTTTTAAAAAAAATTTTTTAGATGTCGTCTCCACTAGCCCATCACCAATTAAAAATACTCCTTAAAGCTTTACTTGTGAGTAGAAAAGATGAATTTGTTTATTGGCAAGGATTGGACTCTTTAAGCGCTCCTTTTTTAATTTTACATTTTAATGATTTATGTAAGGTTTTTTTCATTTTTATAAAATTTCTTTTTTAAAGCAACAGCTTTTCGTTGTCTAAATGCTTTTATTGACCGTTATTTACGTGGATTCTTCCTCAAAGACAATACAATTGTAATTCGAAGTTATTTGGCTGAATTTATGCGTGTTATTGAATTTTGTGATTCTGAATTATTTGCACATTTGGTTTCTTTGGATTTTCAACCTGAACTTTTTGCTATTCCGTTAATTTTTATTTAAAAAGCTATTTCAATTCAAATTTTTATTTTTTAGCTGGTTTCTAACTTGTTTTGCACATGTTCTTCCTCTACATAAATTATTTCATCTTTGGGATGCTCTTCTTCTTTCTGATTCTGAATTTCCACTGTATTTTTTTAATTTTTTTTATTAAATAATTTGTTAATTTTTTTAAGTTTTATTGGTGTCGCTATTCTTTTGCAACTTCGTTCAAAATTAATTAAAGCAAATTTTAATGAAGCTATTCTTTTATTTTCTGATTTGCCAGGTTTTTTTAAATTTATTTTGTTTAAAAAATTTTTTTTAAATTAGATTTGCCTATTGATCAAGTTGTTAGCACTGCCAAATTTTATCATTCAAGATGGCGTTAATTTATGAGGAGAGTTTATTTTTTAATTTTGTATAAAGATGGTGACTACGAAGGAAATTTCCCCATTTATTTTTATTGTTTTTTGAAGTTTTATGATTTTACAAAATTTTATTTATTTTTAAATTCAATAAAATTTCAATATTAATTTTCAAAATATTTTTTGATGGTGTCCTTTCCATTAAATTAATTTTATCCTTACATTTTGCAATTTTCTATAATTTTTTAAAACTTTCTAGAAATGTCAATTAGTGATTATTTTAAAAACAATTCTGTTACTGCAAGTCCTCGGATTGGAGGAGGAAAGAAGAGCAGCAACAACAATACTCCTGCAAAATTGACACTAGAAAACGAAGGAGAAAAATCAACAATTCCTTGGGTTGAAAAATAGTTGGAGAATTTTTAAATATTTTTTATTAAATATTTTTAAATTTTTTAGTCGTCCAAAAAAAGTGGATCAAGTTTTATGTCAAGAAGAGGTTGTAGCTGTTTTGAATAAATGTTTGAATGGAGCTGATGTAAATTTAAAAGGAATTTTTTATTTAAAAATTTTTTTGTTAAAGTTGCCAAATATTTTATTTTATGGTCCTCCTGGAACCGGAAAGACTTCTTGTGCAATAGCTCTTTGTCGTCAACTTTTTCCTTCATCACAGCTTTATAAAGACAGAGTTTTGGAATTAAATGCTTCTGATGAGAGAGGAATTAATGTTGTTAGAAATAGGGTTAGTTTATTTTTCTTAAGTTCTATTTTGAGACCCAAATCTTAAAATTTTTATTTATATAAATTTTTGGGTACTTTTTGTAATATTTCTTAATAGGGTTGGGGGCCCAGTTCGGTCCGAATGATCGAGTCGTGCATCGAATTTTGGCCCGAAAAAGACTTGGTCGGGTCGGCCCGATAAAAACAAGTCAAAAAATGCCTCGACCGCCGTCCCGACTCGAAAATGGCAACCCTATTTTGTAATTAAAATGGGGGGATCAATTGTCTTTTTATATAAAATTATTAAAAATTTATTTCTTCTAATTTCTTTTAAGATTAAAGAATTTGCTAGAATCGCCGTATCTTCTTCCTATTCTGCATCAAAAACTTCAATTCCTTCATTAAAAATTGTTATATTAGACGAAGCTGATGCAATGACAGGTTTATTTATTTAAAAATAAAAGACAAAATTTTTTTTTATTTTTTAGGGCCAGCCCAATCTGCTTTACGTCGTACAATGGAAAATGAAACACAAACAACTCGTTTCTTTTTAATTTGTAATTATGTTACTCGAATTATTGAACCGTTAACTTCGAGATGTGCAAAGTTTCGATTTAAGCCGCTCTCTGAAGAAGCACAAAAAGAACGGTAAATAAATATTTTTTTCTAAGAATGGTAAAGTAAATTTTTTCTTTATTAGTCCAAATTAATTTTTTCTATTTAAACCAGAAAACAGAAATTTATTTTAAAATTAATAAATATTGCATATTAAGAAAGGAAAAACCAAAAATTAAAAAAATATAGAAAGAAAAGTTTGTCTTAAAATATTTAAGATTTATTTAAATTTCCCCCAACATTTTTTTATTTATTCCATTCAGTTTGTTTTTGTATTTTTAACCACTAGGTCCGCTAACTTTTGGGGCTTCTCCTTTTTTTAGTTTTGGGCACACAATTGGTCCCGACATAAATAAAATAGAAATTAATATTAATGGAATATAAAATATAATTAAATTTTTAATTGATTTGAAAACCATTTTTTGGATTTTTAAAATTAAAAGGAATTTTTTGGATTATGAGAATATTTTAGTTTAGAAGCCTTTTAAATAAGGCAATATTTTATAGCTTGCGTTTGCCTTTTTATTTAATTTTTAATTTATAGTTTGTATTTTTTTTAATATTCTCGGCTCTTGTGTGTATTAGAAAACCGTTTAATTTAAAAGTCAGAGAAAGAGAATTTTATAAAAAATTTTTAATTTTTAAATGAATTTTTGGCAAAAATTTCTTTTGGCCCTTTCACACGTTTTCCACGTGTTTAATAATCAATGAATACTTAAGAATATAATTTAGAGAAGAAAATTTATTTTAAGAATTTTTAAAATAAAATTTAAATTTAATAAGCAACTTGTTTGTTCATTTGTTGAGGCATAAAATAAATAAAATTTTAAATTAAAAATTGATTTTTTTTAATTTTGCAAAAAAAAATTAATTTTTGCAAGATTTATAATTTAAAGGAAGATTTAGAAATAAATTTAAATTTAATATTTTTAATTTTTTGGTCGGGAAAACAATTAAATTTTAAATGGTCTAAAGCACTCCAAATCGTAATAATGGGAAACGAGTAGGGTTGTCGGTTCTTGGAAAATCTTAGGATATCCTGAACCGAAAAACATCGGTTCTTCGGTTCGGTCCAGAACCGACGACCCTATTTTATTATAGAACACTCGTCTTTTGAATTTTTTCTTTTCTTTTGAATTTTTTTTCTGTCGCAAGACGCAAAACGATTTTTAAGTAAGCATTAAGGAGCGGATTCCTTAAAAAATAATTTTTTTTTTATTTTTCAAGTTTACTCAACATTTCCATCGCCGAAGAAATTAATTTTGATGAAAATGCAATAGAACAATTAGTTTCAATTTCAAATGGAGATTTACGTAAATCAATTACTTTAATGCAATCAATGGCTTGTTCTGCTGTTAATAATTCTATAAGTGTTGAAGATGTTAAAGAAATGTCTGGAGAAATACCTGGGAAATTGATGGAAGAATTTATTGATGTTGTTAAATGTTTGGATCAGGAAAAGGTTTAAAAAATTTTTTTTGAGAATTATGAGGGAAGAGGAGATGGAAGGTTTGTTGGGAAAAATATTAAAAAAATGAATTTTTTAATGGTGTCTCTTTAAGAAATTAAATAATTGCGGGGCTTGTTAGAGGAGAGCAAGGACGTTGAAGGGTTTTCTCTCATTTAGCCAAGAATTAAAACTTAAATTTTTCACAAATATTTTCCTTGACTTAATTGTTTTTAAAATAAATTTCCAAATTTTTGGTTTATTATGGAATTTAGGAGAGAAATTTTTAACATTTTCATTCGAAATTGTTAAATTTCCTCATATATTTTTCATCATCAAAAAGAATTGGATTACACTTTTTTATATAAATTTTAGGGATTGACATTAATTTTTTGGATAAAATTTTGTTGTTTTCTTCCCTCTCTTTAAAAATATTTAAAAATTTATTTTTTCCAGGTAAATCATTATGCAAAGAAAATTGTTAAAAATGGATATAGTGTTACTCAATATTTAACTCAATTATTGGATATTATTTTGGGATATCAAAATTTAAAAGAAGTTAAGAAAGCAAAAATATTTATTAAAATAGCGGTAAAAATTGAGAAAAAAATTTTTAATTGAAAAAAATTTTTAGGAAACAGAAAAATGTTTGATAGATGGGGCGGATGAATATATACAACTTTTGAATTTATTGTTGACTTGTCAGGGATGTTTTGCTGATATGGATTGATTAAAAAATTAATTTTTTAAAAATATTTTTTTGATATTTAATTTATGGGTACAGCCCAAGTAGGCGCAAGCCATAACGGCGGAAAGCCATAACTTGCTTCAAGATTTCCGAATCTTACCAGATTTAGTATTAAACGATTCCTCTCATCGAGCTAAAGAGATTGGTATAAAAATTGACAAGGACCAGAAATTTTCCAGCGAGTTATGGCTTTGCGCTGTTATGGATGCGCGCCTACTTCGGCGTGTGCCTTAATTTATTTTCTCAAACAAAATCTCTCGGCTTTTATTTTAATTTATTTTTTATTTATTTTATTTGTTAGAAAAATGTATTTAATTGTTTTTTTGTTTTTATTTTTGGTCTAAAATACCTTTTAATTTTGATTTTTATTTTTTTAATTATTTTTTTTCTTTTATTAATTAATTTTAGCTCCAAAAATGTCTTTATTTGCAAAATTATTTCGTTACTCAAAATTTGTTGAACTTGGCTCTGTTAATGGACAAAAAATTGTTGGACGTGTAGTTCATAGAGTTAATGATGATTTATATATTGATTTTGGATGTAAATTTAATGCTGTTTGTAAAAGGCCTAAAAAGGATTCTGAGTAAGTTTTTAAAAGTTTAATTTTGAATTTTTTTAAATTAATTTTTTAGAAAATATGTTATTGGCTCAAATGTTTTGATTAGAATTTTTGATACAGGTAATTTTAAAAATTAACAGTTGGGGTTAAATAACGGTTAAATGAGTAAGGAAAAATATAATGTATTTTTCGGGGTATTATTTTGGGGAAGGCTGTTGGGTCTTTAACGTGTAACGAGTTTAGAGGTTAATACTAATAAATAAAAGAGGCAAAAAATACTACAAGGGCCCCTGATCTTTCGGTCCCTATTGTCGATCACTCACGAAAAAATCAAATAAATCTGAAAAATCCTTGTGCTTTTGATTCCGGATCCAATTCCTGATTAAATACAAATAAAAATTTGAATTTAAGTTAGTGGTTCGGTTTATAGTCACAAATATTTTTTTTATTAACAAAATTCTTTCAAAAATTTTTTTAAAGAATTGAGTGAACGCTTTCTTGGGTCCAAAAATGATTTGACACTTCTTGAGGCAGATGCAATAATTATCGGACTTTATTCGCCAAAAAATATAGCTGGGAAGACATATAGGGGAACAAATGCTTATTCAGATAAAGGAGAATTTAAACAAAAAACAATAGCAGAGAATTTATAAAAAAATTTATTTTTTGTTTTCCCCCATTTAGTAAAAATTTTAATAAAAATATTTTGTTATTTTATAAATATTTTTGGGTAACTAGACCTTCCACTTCGAATTATTCTTTCCCTTTTTTTAAGGTTCTCTTCTACAAATTTTAAATAAAAAATTTGTTTTTGTGACAGCTAGTAAGGGAGAGAATGGCATGCTTTATCGATTGTGCTTTGTAAAGCATGTACTAAAAGGAAAGTCGTTTCAGCCTCTTATTTTTTATTTTTATGTAGACTTTTAAAAAAATATCCTAAAATAGTGTTTAGTAATCTTACATACTGAAGTTCTCTATTATAATCTGACCTCGATTTTGCTTACACCCATGAAGCTAAAAATTGTATTTAAATCGAGAATATATTCATTATTTATGGGTAGCGTTTAGGCACCTCCTCCATGCAGTAGTCAACTAAATTTAACCCTTAATTGTGACCTGTCAAGTATTTAGTTAAAAGATTTCTTTACAGCTAATTAATATTCACACTAATTTAGAGAGATGGGAGATAATAATTATTTGCAAGATTACAATACAACAGGCAATGTTCCTGAACATTTTGTTCAACAATATACTCATCAACCCCATCCAAATCCCTCTTCCCATCAATTCGGTCAAACCTTTACCCCTATTAGTGGAGGAATTCCTCAACAACCTTTTACTCCTTCCCTCCCTTCTTTACGTCCCGATTCTCCGTTAGGTGGAACTGATCGTTTGGTAGTTGGGGGGCAAACTATTCAAACTCAAATAGCTTCTCCACTTGATCTCTTCATTGATTTTACTCGACCAGATGGTCAAAGGACACGGCCACTGCTAGTTGAAGGGAAACGACTTTATGTTGATGAACATTATGTTTCGGTGATTTTTAAAAAAATTTTTTAGTACCTCCGTGGCTGAAAAAACATGTACCTTATTTTGAGTTAGGAGGAAGTGGACTAAATTAGAGAAAAACTATACCCTAAATTAATGTGGAAGGAAAGTACAAATATGATCAGTATTTTTATTTCAAAGGTTTGGTCACCAGTTTTACGCTCCTGGTGCGTCGAATGTCCCGATAGAGAATTAATTTTGGCTAACGTTCAATATGATCACGTGCTTGAAGTACTTTCTGCAATACATCCAACCTATAAAGAAGTGGACGATCAAACAGTTCATTTGCTTTTGCCAATTGCTTTCGATTACCAAGTACTTTTTTTAAAAATCTTTTTAAAAAAATTTTTCCTAAAAAGATGGACGGCCTTTTGCATCGTTGTGAATGTTTTTTGATAGCCAACAAAATGCCCTTCCTCGAAAAACTTTGGCTTGCTGACCGTTACCAACTTAGTCGACTTTTGGCACTTCTCCTTAAAGAGCTTCGTCCAAATACCCACAAACTTGATTTGAGCGGGCCTCGATATTCGAGCCTTTCAGACCGAGTAAAAGTTTTGCTTCTTGAGAGAATGCATGGATCACCAGCACCGGAAGTAGAAAAAAATAAAATTTTTACCAATAAAATAATTTAAGGAGCTCCCCGAACCTCCTATCGATATGGAGCACATGTTAAGTCCAAGTGATTTGAATTTTGCCTCTGTCCGTGCAAAGACTGGAAGGGCTTATCACATTAATCCATGTAAATAATCCTTGATATTTCTATTAAATATATTTTTATTTTTAAGATTATGTTGCCGCTTGGTCTACACTTTTCCAAGAAAGATTTTGTAATGGAATAGGTGTTGGTGGGGACGATGATTTAATTTATTGCCCTTGTTCGAATGAAGAACTTAAATATTTTTTAATGGCTATATATCCGCCACAATTAAGAATAACTGGTAAAATATTTTTTTGATTATGGATTGATCTAAATATAAGATACACCCAATATTGTGATAACCTCTATTTAGTATACGTTTATAAATTTGGTTGTCCAGTGGATAGGGGAGTTGCCCAAGCAGTACCTCCAATTTAAGGTACCTCTCATTAGTGATCGAGCTGGGCTGGACCAAGGCCAGGGGTTTTCCTGTACCCAGAGTCCATGCCCAGGCATTTTATGACCTTCCATGGTTTTTCCTGGACTACAGGCCCAGGATCCGGCCCAGGCTTTTCAAAAACCCCATTATATCATAAAACTTTTATCAGCCTCAAGAGCGCAACATCTCTGACTTAATAATCTTTTTGAGTTGAATAGCAAATTTTACTAAAATTTAACAGAATCAAATATTGCCCCAATATTGATGGCTGCCTGTAAGTTAGAATCTCATGGATTACTGCGAAAATGTGCAACAATTTTGCTTAGTTCACAAACACAGTTAAGCGTTTTTGTTAGACTTTCTCTGCTCGATCGCTGCCGATTACAAGAATTGCTTGAACAGTGTATGCAAATGGTTCAAAGAGCCGAGGATATTATGGAAATGACTCAACAACAGACGTGTAAGTCTAGATACAATAAAACCTCTCTATAAGACACCCCCAATACTAAATACTCTCTATTTAATATACCCTCCTTATAAGGGACGATTTTAAGCTCTGAGGGCATATCTTAATTTTAATAAGCGAAAGGTACCTATTTTCAATTAAGATGAGTGTCTTTCAACACGTGCAAAAAGCGCAATGATGGATCGTTTTGCACAGCTTGTAAATATTCAAGGGATTCAACAATTTCCCTTACAATCAACAATACACATTTGCACAAAGTCTAATCTACTTCCCCCTTTTCTAAAATAAATTATCACAATTTTCAGATGCAAATCTCAGTTCGGTTGTTCGGAAATAGCTTGGCAATGTAGCCAATGCAAAACCTTCATTTCCTCAACTTTACTCGCAGAATTGAGCGGGGCTGGAAGACAGAATCGTCAAGGTTCCCAATCAGGAATCAATCCTTCCCCCCAACCACTAAATACATCTCCATCCCACACACAACAGTATGGACGTAATATCGTTTCATCACGTCGATAGAAATTTAATTTTTAGAAAATTATGAATAAATATATAGTGGAATTTTTGCTTTTAGCGTAAATAAATTTGTGTTTAAAGTTCTCGTTTTAATAATAAACTACTGTTGGTCTCTATAATTAATTTACTTTTAGATTTGATTTCTCAAGTCTATTTAATCTTGATCTTTTAACCCTTTTTACCCTAGTCGGTCTTTTAAACCTTTTGGCCGAATCGGTCATTTAACCATTCGGTCTTTTGTAGTTGGGCTAATCACTTTTGTAGATTTAAAAAATTGACATTTTGTAATGTTTCAAAATGAATTTTCGAAATGTCAACCTTTTTTGCGGGAAATTAAAAATTAATTTTTAACTTTTGTGTTGCCTAAATTTTAAATTTTTTTCATTTTTTTGTTTTATATTTAATTAATTTTCTTAGTTTTTCCATAGTTCTCAAAATTATCTGAACATATTTTAAAAAACTTTTTATTTTCCAATGTACAAGAAAAAGAAGAAACTCCGTGTTGAGGAAGAAAAAATTAAATTAGATTTAGATCCAGATTTGGTATTAAAAACGCCTGTTGCTACTCCTTTTCGTGTTCCTATTCCTGGACATTCTGGAGGTTTTCTTTTTTAATTTTTGTTTTAATCTTCTAAAAAATTTTAGGAACCCCAATTAATAACCAAAATACTCCCTTAAGTCGAAATGCCAAACAAACATGTTTTCAACAAATGAAACGTTTAATTGATTCTGAAGGGGAGAATGAGTCAGAAGATGGGGAAAAATTGAGAAGAAGTTCAAATGGAATTGTAGCTATCTCTGGAAATAATGTAGTTAATACTGGTGGTATTGAATGTCTTTCATCCCTTTCACACGAGGATATAATAAAGAAATTGCTTTCAAGTGCATTCAGAGTACCTATTCGTGGATATACAGGTTTTTTGAATTTTTAAATAAAATGTAAAAGATTTATTAAACGATTAAATGAAGACTTCAGCCTTTAAGTTGTTAAACACGCTTGGGACCGTCCCCCATTTTGGCGGTTCTTTATAATTTTATGAACCCATGATTCGTCCCAGATCAATATTAGACACAGAGTTTAGTCTCTTGATTTTTTAACTTTTTCCCATTTATAGGTATGCCATCAAATCGTTTCCTTGGAATGAGAATGTCTGCAGTAAGGTGTTCTTTACATGATCCATATGCTGAAGGGGCATTAGTGCTTTTTACACCACCAGAATTATCAGCACACGAACAAATGAAAGTATTTTGAAATTTTAAAATTATTTTTTCAAATTTTTCTTTTAAGATTGGAGATACTGAACGTCAAGTCCATGTAGTTGTCGACCCCCTTCTTTGCACTGTTCTCAGACCCCATCAACGAGAGGGTGTAAAATTTATGTATGAATGCGTTACTGGAACTCGAATAGAAAATTTTAACGGATGTATAATGGCTGATGAAATGGGACTGGGAAAGACGTTGCAATGTATTGCTTTGATGTGGACACTTTTGGTTAATTAGAAAATTTTTTCAAAATTCTGAATTATTTGGAGTGTTAACGATCATTTACCTTCCTTGTAAGGTCCTCTCCCTCATCTGAAGGTCCTTTCCCTCAATTTCTTCTCTTTAAATAAAAACCTTTTTTGAACACCTCCATTTTTTAGCGTCAAGGCCCAGAAGCAAAACCAACAATTAATCGTTGTATAATTGTCTGTCCGAGCAGTTTAGTCAAAAATTGGGACAAAGAAATATCAAAATGGTTACATGGACGTGTTAATTCCCTTCCAATCGATTCTGGAAAAAGAGAGGAAATTATTAATTCTTTAAAACAATTTATGTCACAAATTGGTACAAGAATAGGCACTCCAGTAATTATTATCTCTTATGAGACTTTTCGTTTATATGCTGATATTCTTCATGAAAGGGAAATTGGATTGGTTATTTGTGATGAGGTTTGTGTATTTTTTATTGAATTTGAAAAAAAGTTCACAAAAAAATGTCCGCAACTTTTTTGCGGACATTTATATTTTTCTGCTCGATTTCTCTGTATTTTAAAAATTTTTGAATATAATAATTTTCAGGGCCATCGTCTTAAAAACAGTGACAACCAAACTTACCGTGCACTTACTGGACTTAAATGCTCTAGAAGAGTTTTGATTTCTGGAACACCAATTCAAAATGATTTGCTTGAATATTACTCACTCATCAATTTTGTAAACCCTGGACTTTTGGGTCCCGTTGCTGAATTTCGGCGACATTTTGAGAGTTCTATTCTTCGATCAAGAGATGCAAATGCTACAGAGGATCAGCAAAAACTGGGTGAAGAAAAGTTGCAAGAACTTTTGGGTCTTGTTAATAGATGTATTATAAGGAGGACGAGTGCTTTACTTACAAAATATTTACCTGTAAGTTTACGGGGACCTCTACGTAAAATAAAAATCCTGCAAAAATCAAAGATTTCCTGCATGTCCCTTGTGTCAGATATGCCAATTACTTTGAATAACAGATGAGACTAATTGAAAGTCAAATTTAGTTTTAACCTCGTAAAATTTTTTTTAATTTAATGGCTTCCTAAAAGATTTTTAACGCTTTTTTATTTCCATTTTTAAAATTTTAGGTCAAATACGAATTGGTATGTATCTGTTCACTCACAGAACTTCAAACAACATTGTATGCCCAAATGATAAAATATATGGATAAAGAATTGAGGAAAGCTAGAGGTGCTTTAAATACCTATACAACACTTGCATTTATAACAAACTTGAAGAAATTATGCAATCATCCACAATTAATATTTTCAAAATGTCAAGCAAAAGATGCTGGGTTTGAAGGTTTGTTTTTAACTAAAATTTGCCTTATTTATAATTGTGGAGAGGATAGTTGGGAATTTTCTGTTGAGTCATTCGGATTCTCAGGAGAAACGGAGTAGTTTTTTTCTTATTTTCTCTTTATTTTGCGAGAAATTTCAGTTCGGGTTTCCTTCTGTTTAATAATAACTCCATTACTTCCTACCTTATCAAACCTTTTTGTTTTTTGTTAAATTACACAATTTTTTAAATAAAATTCTATTTTTTAGATTGCCTCGAATTATTCCCTCCAAACTTTTCTATTTCTACTAATGGCAGAACCAATGACAATAATCGTGTTATTTTCGATCCAGCATGGTCTGGAAAAATGCGAGTGCTAGATTATTTGTTAGCCTATTCTAGACGTACTTGTGATGATCGTTTTGTACTTGTTTCTAATTATACACAAACAATGGATGCTTTTGAACAGGTTTTATTTGGATTTAATTACTGTTTATTTTCCCGACTTTAATAAATTTAACAAAAATTGTGAGCAAACGTTTTTCCGATATATGCAATAATAATTTAAGGAACTTGGGTTTAAGATTTGTTAAGAGAGTGTACAAGTCATCATCCCGGAGCCTAAAGCACCTGAGGTTAACTGCCTTGAATCAAATTCGATTCTTGCCCAATGGCTAGACTTTTGCTCAACTAATAATTTTACTTTTGGGATCATAATTTTTAAAATTAAAAATTTATAAGGAAAACTTTAACTAAAAAATATTTTTTATAGCTTTGTACTCTTCGAAATTACCCTTTTGTTCGTTTGGATGGCACAATGTCAATTAAACAACGTTCTAAAATTGTTGAAAAATTTAATGATCCAAAGGTTTTTTTATTTTTTTTTAAATTATTTTTAACTTTTAGTCTGATTGTTTTGCTTTTTTACTCTCTTCAAAAGCTGGTGGCTGTGGACTTAATTTAATTGGAGCAAATCGTTTGGTTATGTTCGATCCAGATTGGAATCCTGCAAATGATGGTCAAGCAATGGCTAGAGTTTGGAGAGATGGACAAAAAAAGACTTGTTTTGTCTATAGACTTCTTTCGGTTTTTCTTTTAATTACAAAAATTAATTTATAAAAAAAATTTTTTGTAGAGGGGTACAATTGAAGAAAAAATTTTTCAAAGACAAACACATAAAAAGGCGCTTTCTTCTTGTGTTGTGGATGAAGTAGAAAATGTTGCGAGGCATTTTAGTGCTGATGAATTAAAAACATTATTCCAATTGGAGACACAAACAAGTAGCGACACACACGATAAGTATGAAAATAATTTTAGAATTCAAAAAAAAATTTTCTATTAAAGGCTTAAATGTCAACGTTGTATGAACGGAAAGGAAATGAAAGATCCGCCAGAAACGGCTGATACAAATTCTGATTTGGCTCTATGGCATCATTCTGAACGTGCTCATCGAAAAGTTCCTGATCAAATTATTCGTTCTCTTAGAGAGTGTGTTAAGGTTTGAAGTTTTTATTTTTTGGTCTGTCTGGGAACTTTCGATAAAAATTTTAGAGTTTTTTCTAGATTTTTTTTCTATGAGGGATTTTTAGTTTTTAGTCATTTTTTAAGAAATGGTCCTCATCCTCTTTTAGCTTTAATTTCACTCATATTATAGAATTTTTCGACTACCCTTCGAGACTGATTTTTTCTCTATAAATTTTTTAATCAAATTTATTCTAATATTTTTAAAGGATATTACATTTGTTTTTCACCAAAAATCACATGATGGAGTTAATAATCGTGAATTATCTCCTCCACAACAATCACAAGAAGAAAATAAAAATGAAGTTGAAGAAGATGAAAACAAAGAAGAAGAAAAAATTTTAGAAAAAGGGGAAGAAAATGAGAGGGATGAAGGAGGAAAAGATAAAGAAATATTTGAAAAACAAAAAACCCCACCAAAAAAATTAACAGCAAAAAAAGTTTTGAATAAATCTGGAAGAAAAAGAAGTCAAGAAGAAAATAATGTAAGTGAATATAAAAATGTAAATGAGGAAATTATTATTTTGTAAAAGAAGGGAAAATTATTTTTTGATTATTTTTGTATTTTTCGGTGATTTTTTTTTGAAAAAATATTTTTGAAATAACTTTTTGGTAGAATTAGTGAATTTTTTTTTAATTTTAAAATCTGAAAATTAAATTCACAAAATATTTTTACCAACAAATTTAATTAAATCTCACATCTTATTCTAAAATTTAAAAATAAATAAAATTACAAGTATTTTCAGGTTTAGGCTGAATTCAAATTTTTTAATAGACCTTATCCAGAAATCCGGGCTTTCTATGACCTGATCCAAAGAGAATTTTAAAAAGCCAGACCCAACTTTTGGTACTTATGTAAAATTTTAGAAATTCTTGTACATTTAGGCATAATTAAGTATTTATTACTGGCGGTAAACACAAAGCAGGGTTATTTTTTATTAGACAGTTTGGTGTATATTTGAGAAAAGTTAAGTACGATAACGCAAAACAATTGAAAATTTATCAAATCTCAAAGGGAAAAAGGCACAAACAAATGTTGGACAAAAGCTTAAACCTAAACGTCCTTAAAATTTTAAATCTAAGTGTTTATCCCTTAAAATTCAAATAAAAAACACAAAAACACATTTTTTAAATTTTTTATTTTCTCCCAACCATACACAAATATATACAACATACAAATATATACTGAATATATTCCAAGATTGGAATATTTGGGAAAACACAAGAAACAAATCTTATATGCCTACAAATATATATTTAGGGAAGGGATTATATATAAGGGGGAATATAGACACACAAAAACAAATATATAGCGAGTATTATATACAAATGAACGCAACATCGCAAAGAATGGAAAAAATCCAGGGAGAGATACAACAAATATATAGAAAGAGGGAAGAAGAGAAATGGTTTTATATTTAGTGATCAAGATTTTGTGATTTTCAAAAAGAGACCATTTTCTTCTTTTCTTCCTTTTCTCTCTTCAACATCCGGTGTGTGTTGTTTTAGGTCATTCCTCAGCGCCTTCATCTCCTCCTCCTCCTTCTTCCTCCTTTTCCTCTCCTCCTTCTGCTGCTGCTCCCTCTTCTTTCTTCTCCTCATCGCCGCCTCCTTCCTTCTTCTCTTCATCGCCTTCTTTCTTCTCTTCATCACCGGCACCTTCCTTTTTCTCTTCCTTCTCGCCTTCGGCGCCTTCTTCGGCCTTCTCTCCTGCAGGCTCGTCACCAACTGCTGTCTTTGCTGCTCCCTCTTTGGGCTCGCCTTCTTCCTCAGATGATTCCTTGGATTCTGGCGGTGCAGCGGTCTTAGCGGCTCCACTGAAAATATTTTTGAAAGATTAGATTTGTTGATAAGTATTTTTAATGATAATCTTTTTACCTTTCCGATCCTGGCAAAGCCGTTTTCACTCCTTCCGGACCACCAGCAGCAGGAGCAGCAGATCCTTCTCCCGACTTTTTACTTGCAGCAGCGGCAGATGTTTTGCCTTCTCCTCCAGCCTGTGATGCAGTAGCCTCGATTGCAGTGCCTTCAGAGGTGGTGCCTTCTTTCACCATTGTTGAAGTGGGTGTAGCACCAGGAGCCAACGCGGTCTTCGTCTCGGGCGTCTCTTTTCTGAAAAAATAAACAAAAATTATTTAACTATTTTAGAATTTAGTTTTCTTACCCTTCCTCGCCCTCTTCTCCTTCTTCCTTCTCTTCGCCTTCCTCTCCTTCCTCGCCTTCTGGTTTTTCTCCTTCCTCCTTGACTGAACCGGCGTCTGCTCCTTCTTGCTTCTCCAAATCCTTTTCCTCTTCGGCTCCCTTTTTCTTCTTCATCACGCAGCAGGCCACACCTATCAGAATGCCGACCACAACAACAATGACGATGAAGATGATCAACCCGCTACCACCCTTCTTTTCCGTAGGCGCGACTGTCGTTGTTGTCGATGGCTTCACGGTCGTTGGAGGATTTGTACCTGATCCCGATGGCGAAGGTTTAACTGATATCGTCGATGGTCCCGACTCATCCGTCTTATCAGATCCCTCATCGCTCGTAGAAATAGATTCCTCAGTGGATTCACTCGTTTCAGGTTCAACACTACTTGTCTCAGTGCTGCTGGTTTTTCCGGTGGTTGTGGCATTATTATCCGGATTTGTTGTGTTTGTAGTCGGTAGAGTCGTATTTCCTTGAGGCGCAGTCGTATTTCCTTGAGGGTCAGGTGGCGCAGAAGTTTCATCCGGTGGTTTGGTCGATTCTTCTGGCGGAGGTGGGTTTGGCGGCAAGACCGGTGGGTTTACATGAAGACTGAAAATTAAAAAATAACGTGTTAAAGGAGTCACCGTCAAAGCATCTTATAAGAATATTACCTTCCACCCTCCTGGTTTGTGGCATTCCCGCCTTCCTTCTGTTCAGTGCCTCCATCGCCTGCATTCTGTCCATTGTCTCCATCGCCTGTTTTATTTCCATTGTCTCCTTCGCCTCCCTGCCCTTCTACTTCGTTTGCCGGCGGATTTTCTTCATCCTGATGAACTTCCTTTCCATCGTCCTTGTTCTGATCCACGTGCATCTTGCTGTCAAGGCTCCGTTGATCCAATCCATCGATGCCGCTCGTTTGATTTACTCCTTTGCCGCTCTTCTGAACTTGTCCCGTACTGTTTCTAGAATTAAACAAACATTAACTCTTGAAGAGAAATAGGGAATTAAAAGAAATTCACCTTGCATCACAGAACTGGCAGAGCAAAAGCAGCAGACCCAACACACAGAAGGAAGAGAACATCCTGCGCCTGAACATTGTTGTAGAACACGCGAGCATGAAGAGTGGAGTTGAGCGATTTTGAAGCTGACAAGAAGCGTGAGCCCTCGTTGCTGAAGATTGCTTGTTGCGAAGGTGATTTGTTGATGTAGTTGATGTTTTTGGTGTGTAAATATGAGCTGTTTTTATAGTATTTTAATGTTGTTGTGATTAGGTTTGCTATATAAACAGGCATGGATTAATGGTAGTATAAAGGCCATTATTAGAGCGATTCGTTTTATCGACACCTTCGTAGTGTTCAATCTAATTTTTAGCTTCTTCGAACGGTTCTTCTACAATTTGAGAGCTTTCATGCAATCAGTTTTCTATCCTCATCAGAAATTGCAGATCATTCAGGTGTGAAGTCTTGAAGGATAATGGTCTTGAAGGACATTTTCTGATAAATGTTTACTCCAAGTTATTAGCTCGGATTGGTGTTGGCGGTTTGAGTTTCGGAACCGATGAAAGAGGATATCAATCAGGGAATTTCGGTTCGGATATCGGTTTCTGTATATAGTAGTTTTTCTCAGAGAAAAACTGAAAATACCAAAAGAGTAAGAAATTCAAGTAAAGTATTTTTGAAAGTTTTTAATTTCACACAAGCCAACTAATTAAAAAATTCAATTAATTCAAAGTTCAACAAGGGATGGGTTGAGGAAAAATTCGAGCACGACAATCTCTGATATCTTTTAATTAAAATTATTTAATTCTTTCTACTATTTTTCGTACATTTTTTTAAACGTTTAAAAATCCCAATAACTATCAAGAGACAATTTCCCTCTCAACCTTCGACCAGTCAAAATTCCCCTCTTTTATGTACTTTCCCATTTAAACTAAGTTGGGGTCCGAAAATGCAAACATTGGCCATTAGCCTAGAGAGTACATTTATTTTAATAAATATTGTCTTTTCTCTCCCTCCCTTTTTTCTCTCTTTTTTATTTAAAATAAATATATATTTTTATTTTATTTTCTCGATTTTAGTCTCCTTTTTCTTCTCGTCTTTATGGCCTTTACTTTAAAAAATTTTTTTTCTTCCCTCGTCTACAAAATTTTTAGTAAAAATCGTTTGCGCTAGTAAAAAGGCAGGTAGGAATGACTCATTCATTTATTTCTTCCTTCTTTTCTCTCAAAAATGCTTTTCCCTCCTTTACTGCTTCCAAACAATTTGAACATTAAAAATCAGTCAAAAATTCCTCTTAACTTTTTTTATTAGTCAAAACTTTTATTAATCAAAAAAGAAATTTTGTTTGCCAAAAATTTAATTTTAAAATTTGTTATTTTTATTTTTGAAATTTGTCGGGTATTTTTGTTTTAAATTAAATACTAAATTACACCTGTTTTTTAATAATTAATTAGTTGATCCATGTATACTACAGGGTGTCAATTAGATTAATAAATATAAAGTCAAAATTCTCGTTCAAATTTAATATTTTATATTCCACTTTAAAACAATTTCATTCATTTTTTTAATTTTTTCTTATCAATTTTTACGCTAATTTTAACATTTTTTATCTAAAATTCTTTCACAAAATAAAAAAATATTGCTTTATTTTTGACTAAAAATACATAAAATTTAAATTTATTTTTATTAAAAAAAATTCTTTTAATTTTTTAATTTTAATTAATGGTCATTTTTGCATGAATTTAAAAGTAAATCTTTGTTTTATTTTTTGTTTTCCTAATTCAATCCTTTACTTTTCTTATAATTTGCGATAGAAAAGACAATCAAATAAATGTTTGTCTTTAAAAATTCTTTACTATAGCTTAAATATTTCTACATTTTAACTAGCTTTGGACTTTTTATTTAATTTTATTTTATGACTACTTAATTATTTAATTCAGTCAAACCTTTGTTTTTGTATATTCCGGACTGAAAAATCATATCTTAAATTGAGGGAAATCTCATAGATAGTTCCTCACTCATTATGGCCAACCAAATTGAGGATATCTACCGTAAATCTTCTAATATAACCACACTCTACGAGAGGATCGAAAAATACAAGCACATGTGGTTCTATTAAAAGATTTACGGTAATTTTACAGGCATTTAAAAATGGGGTTGGATTGTAGTTGAAATAATCTTTTTAAATTCGATTTTATAATGAAAAATTATGTAAAAATTATAAATTATGAATAAAAAAATACAAATTATGTCCAATAATTTCTTTTTCCTTAAAATCATTTTTTAAATTTTTTTTTAGATTTTTAATAAAATATTTTTTATTTATTTTTCTTTCCCCAGTCAAAAAATACATAAATGATTCCATCAATATTTCAACATTTATTTCAACAATTTTATTCTTTTTTATTTTTTATTTTCCCATTTTTTCATTTATTTTTTCCTTTTTCTTCTTCGCAAGGATTGAATGATCCAAGTTCTCATTATGTTGAAGGAAGATTAGGGGGAAGGAGGATTTGGTGGTGCCCCTCTGGTTATGGCTATTTGGCTTATTGTCCCCAACCTACAGATTGGGATAATTATAATTGGTGTTGTACTTTCCCTTATATGGGCTCTTGGCAAGTTTTCTTTGTGTTTTAAATTTTTTCCTGAACTTTGGAGTCATTAAAATTTTGGAACCATCAGAAGCTTCCGGGCTAGAGACTGGACCAAAACGTGATTTCTAGCAAAATCTCGGTTATAGAGGTTCGAGATTTTTCGAGAAATTTCGTATGATTTTCAAATGAGACTCCCAGTTTCAACTCTGGACCGTTCTAGTCTAGAGATTTAGCCCATTGTTAAACCAACATCCATAGCTCCTTCTATTGTGCTGGAAAAACTTTAAAACTAAAAAAGGACTAACTGTTTCTTGTTACATTTTTTTAGATCCCTTTGTTGTCCATTACATTGGGTCAGAAAAAATCGGGAAATTTTCGCTCTTTTATTGCTTTAAAGCTTTTATTGCTATTTTTAAAATGATTTTTAAAGGAAACCCTCTTGTTGCCCTTTTGCAATACCTACAGGCGCTGTTATTACTTTAATTATTGCCTCTATTGTTTTAGTTGCAGGTAAAATTATTTTGAAAAAATTGTTAACTAGTCAAGACCTCTATTTTACGCACACTTTTAAATTGTCCGTTATTTAGAGGTTTACCCTATCCACCCAAAACTCCCTTCCCTTTCATTATAAAGAAAAGTCTCCAGTATTGAGTGTACGTAATACAGAGGTTTTTAATTTTCAAGTTCTTGTTGGCTTTTCCTGTTGGTGTTGTTATTTTTGTCCTTTATACAAACAATTATACGAAAATGAAGATGATGAAATTGGACAAGAACAACCAATATATTCTACACAACAAAGACAACAACAACAATTTGAAGAATAAATTGTAAAATTAAATTTTAAAAAATATTTTTTTTTGTAAAAAATGTGCAAAGACTCAGGAAGGAATTTTTGCCATTTTAAAAAATTAGTTTTGCTATTTTTTGAAAAAAAATTTTGGTTGGAAATAGATGGGAGGGGAAATAGATGGGAGGTTTAATTAAAGGATTTTTTCTCTTAGAGGGGTATCCCCAGCTTCTGCCTCTCAGATGGGGTAAAAATTAAGGATCTGATTTGAGGATTAATCGAAAACCTCGTTTCATTCCAACTTCTAAAGACATCTATCACAAAATTCTTTATCTTCTCCAAATTTTCTAATAGTCCATACCATACCAGACTCATCACTATTTTATTTTTAGTGCTAATCTTTAGGGGGAGGTGTTCTCTAATTTTATTTTTCTGTGGGTGAACTCAAAATTTTCTAAAAAAATATTTAAAAAACTGCCTTAAATTAAACTCCAAATACTCTAATTTGGCAATTTTAAAATTGTTTTCATTTCCTCAATTTTATTTCTTTTTTCATTTACTTTATTTAAATTAATTTAATTTTTTTGTATTTTTAATAAAAATATTTTTTTGATTTTTAAATAAATCTGAAAAAAATTTATTTTAGTAAAAATAAATTTTAATGAGCAAAAATAAAAATAACATTAATTTAAAAATTATTTTAAAAAATAAATCTCTAACTTTTGTTAACGTTTAGAAAGAAGAGGAGGAATGCACGGAACGTTATCTAGAAATCTTCTCCTCCCTTCTCTTTCCGCAATTTGTATTTGTGGACCAGACTAGGACATGGACATGGATACAGATATTATAAAAATTCCTGCGGATATCCGTCTGTATCCGCCGTAAATATCCGGATACCAAAATCAGTATCCGTGCCCTAGTCTGTTGCGGACAACAAAAGTAACTAACACAAAAAAGGATAAAGTCAGAGATTCAAAAAAATTTTTTTAAATAAATTTTAATTTAAAAATTAAATTCCCTTCTTTTTCCCAATTTTAAATTCTTTTTTCAACAATAAATCGGTTAATTAAATGTTTAGCAACAATCCCACTTTGGACAACAATTAATGTTAAAAGTGTTCCAAAAACACCCCCAAGTGTCCATTTGTGTAAACAAAGTTGTTGTTGTTGTTCTGAATTTGTTGTTGTTAATTCTAAATTATTTTTCCTTCCACCAGCAGCCTTTAAAAAATTAAAATTTTTTTAATTAAAAGAAAAGTTATTGAAGAAGAGAAAATGTAGGAAGAATTTTTAAATAAAAAAATTTTAAACTTAGAGATATGCTAATTTAACCAAAACCCCCCAAAATAAAAAAAACAGATTGAGAGAGACTAAAGTTTAGCCCCTGGCAGGCATCGATCTTTAGACCTTAGCTTATCACGCACAGCAGTCGTGTGCCGAAACAAATTTTAAATAGTGAAACGCGAAAGGCGAAAGTCCAAAAAACGCAAAAACCCGCAAAGGGCGAAACTGGCACACCCCTGATGCACAGGTATTATTTATTAAAAATCTGTTTCGGAACAAATAATAAAATCAAAAAATTGGAAAGTTTTGTTAATAGAAAAGTACTACAAAATTATTACACAATTTTTGGGAAAAAAATATTAAGATAATTTTACCAACCTCAGTAAAAGCTTCAAAAAGAGAAGAGGATTTTTTGGCTGTTTTTGTTATATTTTTATTATTTTCTTTATTATTTTCAAATATTTGTTTGGATATTGAGGAATGTGAAATAAATGGTTGTTGTTGTTGTTCTGTTTTTATAACAGAATTTTGTTGTTGTAAAGGGTCTACAATAACTAAGGACGTTGTTGCTTGGGCAAAACGGGGAACGACAAAACGGCGAGTTTCGACTTGAAAAATTATTTTTTTAAATTAATCAAAACCTCTATGTAACGTACACTTCTTAAAAATACCTTTCAATATAATGGACAATTTTTGGGACTTAGAAAATTTAAAGGGGTAATACACTCCATTTAATGGACAGTCAACTCTCTTTAGTAGCGACAAAAAAGGAAAAGAGAGAAAAGTCGCTTATAACGAGAGGACAGACTCGACAGAGACAGACTCGCTATTAAAGAGAAATTGCTAATAACGAGAGTTGGCTGCACAATTCTCCAAAAACCTCTATACAATGTACAGTCGCTTTTAATGGAGTTTGTAAGATAGAGGTTTTAGTTAAATTTTATTTTAAAAAATTAAAAAAAATCCTCACATTCTTTGACTTCATTTTTCCTGTTAATATTATTGTCAATAGCAAAACGTCGTTTTCTGCCCCACGATTCTTTAATTCCATCATTAAATTTACAATTAACCTTTTTTTAAAAGAATTTTTTAAATTTTAAAAATTATTTTTTTTTACCGATTTACAATTTTCTTTACATAATTCTAAATGACAAGTTATTCTAATAGCTGGAGAACTGTCAAATCTGAATGCTTGTAAATAAGTTAATTTAACTGCAGAATTAATTGCTTTTATTGGATTTGGAATTAATTTTTGTGCTACTGCTGGTGTTGGACAACTAGAAATAAATAAATGTTAAAATAATAAATATATGAGGTGGGATAATGACTTTTTAGATAAAAAATGGTACTATCAAATTATCTCCACGCATTTGGTTACAAAGATTTTCAAAACTTTGGGTTTTATGGAGAAATGTGTAGGGGTATGGGTGTTGTGTGGTATTGTGGGAATTTTAAAGTCCACTCTATTTAAAAATAAATTTCTCAAAAGAGGGGACAAAATTCATTAAAATTAACAATTAATTAAATTTCCAATCCCCTCAATCCATCCTAAAAATATTTCAAATGACGGCTAAGGAAAAAATCTTGTTATTCCAATATTCCTGATCACTTTTAACTCTTCGTTTGTTTAGAAAATTCCTATTCCTTTAAAAACACCCCAAAATAAAAAAAATTTCAAATATGTAAACTACCCATTCTCAATTAAAGGAAGCCTTTCCCCTTGATTTCCAGAAGTTCCTGGTTCTGCAAAACAATCACGAACTAAAAAGTCCAATTCTTCATCCATCGCCATAATTTCCCATTTTAATTCAAGAATATCCCCCAATTTAGCCTTTAAATTAAAAATATTTTTTTTTAAAAATTCCAAAAATTTTTTACTTGAATTAAAGGCCCTTCCCCACTTTGCCTTTCACTACGTACAGGCCCCATTTGCATCAAAACAGGATTTCCCAATTCTATTTTGCCGCGAGGTTGGATTAGTGAAGGTTGGGGACCGTGAACACGTAATGCAGCTGCTGTCTGGACTTTGCCTCCCAACATACTTGAATAGTTACAGGAAATCTTTAAAATAATTATTTTAAAATTTAAATAAATTTTTTGAAAATTTAAAAAAATTTCCAAAAATTTCCCAAATTTTTAATTAATTTATTTTTTAAATAATCCTAAAAAATTTAAAAATTCTTTGAAAAATTTTTACACCATTTTAACATTTAATTTTCATTAATTCTTAGTCAACCCAAATTAAAATAAACCAAAGAAAAAAAGAATGCCACGACCCGGGATCGAACCGGGGACATTTAGATCTTCAGTCTAACGCTCTCCCGACTGAGCTATCATGGCAGATGAAAGGAAACTTAAATAAACGACTAAAAATGAGAGAGAGAATGAAAATGTATTTGTACAGGCAAGATTGAGAGTTAAAAATGGTGTTTAAAATTTAAAAAAATTTGTATAAATTAGAATTAAAATTTAAAATAATTTTAAATATATTTTTAAAATAAAATCTCCCAAAATTTTTCGAAAATTTTTCAAAAGTTGAAAAAATAATTTTTAAAAATTTTTTTGCCTCATAAAGTTGGTCCATAGAAGTAACAAGTCCCGGAATTCCCAAATTATTTGTTTGGACAACAATAACAGTTTTGTAGGTTCCATTGTCCATATCTTGCAATCCACAATCTCTTTGTAATTGTCTTCTTGAACGTTTAAGGTCTTTTTGGGAATTTATTAAATGAATATCTTCAGTTGAAGAACCCCCTTCAATTTGTTTTTTGGAACCTGAAAAAGGAAATTTTTGAGGGGAAAAATTTTTTTTATTAAAAATGGAATTCACAAAGGGAGGATTTTTTTGTAAAAATAAAAAAAATAAATTTTGGAGGATTTATTTTGTTAATAAAAATTTAATAAAATTTATTTTTATTGAAATTTTTTTAATTTTCAGGTAAGAGGATATGTATGTTTGATGTTTACACTATACTCTAACGCTTATAAAACAATCTGAACAAATCCTAAATTAATGAAATTTTGTTCAGATATTCTCCATAATGTTATCACTTAATCCTCCAATTTTCAAAATTTTTGCTTTTGTATTTCTCAAGTTATGGATTCGAAAATATAAATAATTCGAAAATTAGGCTTATTTGGAAAACTCCACATTTTTAACCAGAAAATGCCAAATAATTCTTAAAAAATTATGAAATTTTTGGAGAGGTTAGAAAAGAAATTTAAAGAAAAATATGCAAAAATTAATGGTTTAATATTCATTTTTGACAATTTTATAAGCATCGCCGTAACTTTAATTCGATTATAAACTTGGTTGCTTTTCCTTTGTTTTTATTTAAAATTTAATTTTTCCAACCTTCAATAGAAAGTAAAGTATCCCCGTGTGTTTTATTCCCTTTTCCATGTTTTTGTGAATTAATTAAAGCAATTGGCTTCATTCCAAAATTTGCGGGAAGCCCCAAAACTAAAACAACGCTATCCTTCCCTTCAACCTCAACACGGCAAGTATCATATTTATTTCGAACAAAAACAACACCAGAGAATGGAGAAGAATGTTTAATCTTTTTTTAGAAAAATTAAAATATTAAACATTATTTAAATTCCCCTTCCCCTCAAAACAATTAAAAACTATAAGAGAGAGAATGCCTTAAAACGTGGAATTTAAAGCTACATAGTTTCATAATTTTTTGAATCAGAAGCTGTATAGTTTCCGAAACTTTGCCGTTTTTTCTTGTGTTTTCACATAGACTGTGTTTTCCACAAATAATGTAGCATTTATGTGAATGTACATAACAGGGATCGCGCCGACAGAAAACCAAATTCACGATTTTCGTGAATCGGGAATCGGATCGACGCGGTCCCTGGTACATAATATATACATTTCGTGAATGTTTCAGTTTTGGTTTTTTTTGTTTTTTTAACTTAAATTTCGTTTCTCCTTATTTATTTTTAAAGTCAATTCGATATATTCCCAAAGTTAAGGAATTAAAAAAATTTATAAATAACTTACTTGAACACTAATTCCTTCATAATTACAAATAGTATGTACTTCTTGTGCTGGAATAAGTACAGGAGAGGGAATAGAAACTTGTGGTGAAGGTTTAATAATTAATTTGCCATCTACAGGAGCAGTTCCAGTTATTGAATTCTATATAATGGAAATTGAGTTTTAATTGAAATTATGAATTGAAATCCTAGACTAGAAAATTATGGAAGAAGGCTCCAAGTTAAATTTTTAAAAAATTAGGTAAATTCTTAATCATTTTTTTAATTTATTATCACTGACTAATCCAAATATTGTAAAGAAAATTGAGACTTAATCGAGTTTATGAATTAAAATCAGGATCTTTTTTTGGATCCTTTCCAGTAGGAACACCCTGGTATGGTCGATTCAGGTCGATTCAGTATCTATTATTGACTTAAAAGATCGGGTTTGTAATGAAATAAAATTATTCGAATAAAAAATTGCTCGAAATCTAATTAACTTCGATACGGAATGTGTCAGAGGATTGATTAAAAAAACAAAAAAAGTCGAGATAAGTCAGAAAATTTATGACAAAAACAATAAAAATCACCTCATCTGGATCTTTCCCAGTAGGAACCCCAAAAGATTTTGACCCTATAGGAAGTTGTTCCTTTCCAGTTTTTCCACCATTTTTAGATTTTGGTGGAAGTTTAATATTTGGTTCCTTTAAATTTTTAAAAAAATTTTTTTAATTTTTTAAAAATTTACTTTGTGTAATGTTTTATTGTTGTTATTTAAATCACGAATTTGTGGAGGTTTAGTCTGAAAAATATTTTTATTTTATTTTAAATTGGGTTTGAAAATATTTTTAATTTTTTTAGATTAATTAGACTAACCCAAATTAAATTTATTTAACAAAAAATGAAAAAAAAGGAAAATTTCCACTTTTAGGAAAGTATGGTTTCCATTAAATTTAATTTTTCAGATTTTTTATTTTTGAATTTTAATTGTAATTTATAAATATTTAGAATAATTAGAACCATATAAAAATTATTTAATTATTTATTTAATTAATCACCCAAGGGATTTTTAAAATATGTAAAAATATTTGGCGCAAGTTTAAGACTACATAATAAATAAAATAAGCTTCAAATAAAATTTCCGTGAAATTAATTTCTTTTAGTTAAAGAAGCCATTTTTCTCTCAAAATTTTTAATTAAAGTTTTAAAAAATTTAAAAATTCCCTCACAGTTAATTGAACAGAAGGGGGAGGTGCAGCCGTTGCTTGTTGTGTTTTGGGTACATTAGCAGCCCCGCTATCACTTTTCGATTCCTTAACTCTACAAATATTTCTGTAAAAATCAACATGTTCGTCTTTGTCTTGTTGAGAATTTGGAGAAGAATTTAATAAAAGGGAAGTAAATAATTGACAAGAACCATTTCGGCGATTGTAATTAACACCTTCACATCTTTTAATTAAATTAATTATTAAAAAATTTTTTTTCCATTTTTGGAAGACTCGAAAAATATTCAGTTAAAATTAGAAAGAAGGAAAAATTTGGAGTAGATCATTAGCTTCTCAAAAAAATTTATATACATAAATTAAATTATTGCTTTATTGAGAATAGTCCAAACTAGGATAGCCTTCGAGGTCGTCGGGGATCGGGGGTTGCATGGGTTCAGGTTGGGGTTTTTGCCAAAAAAAAGTTGGGCGGGGTATGAGGGACGGGGATAGACCCAAGTCCAAACAAAGACCTTGACCACTAAAATCAAAGCTTTAATTTTGGTTTTTATCTTGATATATTAAATTTTGCATATGGTTCTCTACTTAATTTAACTAGAATAATGTGACACATTTTATTTAAAAAATTGTTCTAATTTGATTTTTAAATTTTAAAAAAAATTTAAAAATATAAACTTACTGTTCTCCCCCAGTTGAACAAAGATTTAAACATTTGGAAAGTGGTAAACTTGAAATTTCACGATTTGGAGAATTCGCTACCCAACGAGTATAAAGGAAACGACTTTAAATTAAAAAAAATAATTTGTAAAAAATTCTTCAATTTACCTAAAAATAGCCCCTTCTGGGTCAACACAAGCAGAGGGAGAATGTTTAGAATTTTCTCCTAAAAGTTGTGATGTTCCACTCAAACAGTGAACATCGTATAAATCAAACTGGAAAATAAATAAATTTAAAAATAATTTTGTTGGCAAGGGAGTTTTAAATAATTTAAGATAATTCGGAATTAAAAATCCGAATTAAAAGCTTTCCTTCTTTGAAGGAATTTAATTTTCGGTTTAATTAAAATATTATTTTACTCATTTTTCATAAATTAATTTACTTGTGTCTTTTGCTCTGGTCGTAAAGACCCTTGTCCATCCAAATAAAGTAAATTACAATTACCAGCTTGTTTATCAAAATTGAAAGATCGACATTTGTCTGGGGCGTGTTCAAAACATCTTGGGAAATAAAAATGAATATTAAAAAATTCTGAAAATCAGAAATTAGTTAAAATTAATTCAAAAATTCTGGAAAATAAATCAGTAATAATACCAGAAAATTCAGAATTAAAAATCAGAATAAAAATCAGAATTTAAAATCAGAATTTAAAAATCAGAATTAAAAATCAGAATTTAAATTCAGAATTAAAAACCAGAATTTAAAATCAGAATTTAATAAAAATCAGAATTAAAATCAGAATCTAAAATCTGAATTAAAAATTCAGAATTTAAAATGAGAATTAAAATCAGAATTTAAAATCAGAATTTAAAATCAGAATTAAAACCAAAATTTAAAATCAGAATTTAAAATCAGAACTTAAAATCAAAATTTCAAATCAGAATTAAAAATTCAGAATTTAAAATCAGAATTAAAATCAGAATCTAAAATCTGAATTAAAAATTCGGAATTTAAAAAAACCCCTCACTTTTTAGCACATTGCTGAACTCCTCCCTTAATTGTTTCCAAAACATGTATAGACCCCTCCCCTTCTGGAAGTGCAGAATTAATTGTTCTAACTAATTGGGGCGTTCTTCCATCGATACATTGTTCTTGTTCTAGACGACAATTTATATCAAAATAATCTACAACAAAATCGTCTTCTTCGGGAATGAATAAATCTGGCTTGGAATGGCGTGATTCAGCATTTAAAATACATTCTTGCCTTTTAAAAGAAAAAATAAAAGGAAAATAAATTTGAAAAAATATGTATTAAAAAATTATTTTTAAATTACTTGAGGGAGTTAAATAATAGGGGAGAGATAACGAATAAAAGGGAAACAGGGAACAAAACTGGAGGGATGGAGGAAATATTGTGTAATGCATAATTTCAATTTCTAAAGCAATTTTGGGGAAAATTATTTTTCCGATTTTTATTTTTTGTTTAATTTCATTTACTTAGTAGCTAAACAATTTCAAAATAAACTTTCCCCCAATTTTTATTAAAATTTTCTTCTTTTCCAAAAAAACATACTCATTATAATAATACATGACAGATTTACAAACAAAACTTTGCCCAGTTTCCGGGGGAGGATTTGTACATTGATCCAAACACATAGTTACTGAAGGGACATTTTCCATTACAAAAGAGGCAAATCCAACTAATAACATTTGAGGGACGCGGGTAAATGAAGGAACATTTCGGCAAGTACGAGGGGCTAAATAATGTATGTAATTTTGGGGGAATAAATTCCAAAACATACAGGCAAAACATTTTTTCTCGTGATAAGTCCATCCTTTAGCATCTGTCAAATTAGCTCTACCCAAAGGTCTTGAACGTTCATCAGAAAGAATACAAGATCTTGTCTGGTTATTGTACATAAATGCTTTGCAATTGAAGTCATTTGCCTTTATTTAAAAATAAAAAAGTTGATAAAAAGTCTCTATAGAACATCTACATTTTGTAAATTTTTTGAAATTTAATTGTGAAACCTTTCAATAAAATACTTAACTTTTACGGTTTTTTATTTTTGTTTCTCCCTACGAGAAATTGTGTACCGCAACCGATATCCATACCGAAAATTTCCTAATATTTGGACCTTTTTCAGTGCTTATCCGGAATCACCAAGTGATTCATAAATTCAAGCTAATAAACTCCAAGTTAATAACTTGGACTTAATCATTTATAAGACAATATTGTCATTCAAGACTTTACAATTTCTTCCCTTATTGTGCTCGCTAGGAAATGAGAAGCAACGAATCCGTTATTTCTGTTTCGATAAAACGAATATTCAAATGTTATCTAGCCTTTAGCCTTCCCATATATCACAACTATATGAAGAACTAAAATTCCTTTTCTTTTCAAATAAAAATAAAACCCACAGAAACACTCAATCTTTGATTACAAAGTTGTTCACATTCTGTCAATTCCATTCCATCAAAATTATGATCCAATTCCTCAGCTAATTGTTTTCCTTCGACAGCCACATATTGGGTTACATAAGGGGCATGACATTGGGCTATGATTTTTTTTTTAAATTTAAATTTTAAAAAATCATTTAATTACATCCAGCACAATTATTATCCAAATAAATAACAGTATCTTCTTTCTCATCAACAAACAAATCTGGACGGTCAAGTCTGTCTTCTGTATTTAAAATACATTCGGCATCCAATGGGTAATACATTACTGACCTTTAAAACAAGGAAAATAAAATCGGTAAATTTATTAACAAGAATGCTAAACTCATTACTATCAGACACCTTTGGGTTATCTAAATAAAATCGTGTCTTGAATAAAGTTTATCGTGAATTGGATGTGATGATTTGATAGATAGGTCACCCATTCAACTTATAAAAACGAATCTCAAGCTAAAAGATGTATTTAGTGTAAGGTGTACATATCTTTTAGTGAGGTATTACATTTAAAAATGAGTTAAGAAAAGTAGCATGATGCTTTTCCTATGATTTTTACTTTCTAAAAATCCATTCCAAAAAATTTTAATTTCTAAAGAAATCCCCCCTCCCCTTCTCCCTTTCAAAAACACATACTCGCATTCAAAGCCAAAAGTATCGACAGCATCCAAACAAGCAGTTAAACATTGATGTATAGATTCTGCTGATACAACTTCTCTAGCAAAGCCAACAAGTATTTTTTGTTCGTGAACATCAAAATGGAAAGGGGAAGAACAAATTTTTTTGCTCTAGAAAATGTTGGGGGAATTTGTTAAGGGAGGACATTTTTAAATATTAATTTAATTTGTTTCCTCTTAAAATTTAATTTTCTATCCTGCAAGTATTTGAGAAAGCAAGTATTCGATAGAGAATGTGCCATTTCTAGAAAAGATTTTGAGCCGTTATTGCTCGTCTTTTGATCTGGCCAAGGAGCACATTCTCTATCGAATGAGCCCGGTCTCGACCGTTTTTAGGTCGGACACCTCGCAACCTCTCCTTATTAGTTCCAGAACAAGACGCTTATTGTTTTAAGTAAAAATAATCCGGATCCAAACTTAGTAATCCCCTCCGACATTTTAAAATAGTCTTTGGGGTGTTGTTATAACAAGGTATCATTTTCTAAACACAAATTTAACTCAAGTTCAAGGAAGGTAATTTAGTTAAGAGAGAAATGTCTTAGAGGATTTTAAACAAATTTTGCGGGCCAAAGGATTAATGTTTCGCCGGAAGTTCCGGTTCCGGTAGGCCGCAAGTACCGGAATTTTTATGTTCCGGTTCCTGTCCTTGAGTTCCGGTTACGGCCAAATCTGCGGTTCCGGCGAAATACTACAAAGGATATAGTAGGTGGAATGTTTGGAGGAAAAATTTAAAAAAAGTTCCCAAAATCTAATTCTAATTGTATACCTTAACACAACTTTTAGTAGCTAATCTAGCTTGTGTCAAATTAATGTCTTGTAAAGACAAAGTTGTCGTTGTTGTTGTTTTCCCCAATAATTGGCATTGTTTTTCAATAGAAAATTTAACAGCAACACAATTCTGCAAGTCTTTTATTAATTCTTTAATTTCAAAACAATTTTCAAAATTATTTTCCTTCACCAAAAAATTATTTTTTTCTAATATTCTTTTAATTAATTTTGATAAAATAATTGAAGGCCGTAAATGTTTAGAAGAAAGCCAAGCAATTAAAGAAGAAATAGAAATGTTTGGGGAGGAGGAAGAGAAGAAAGAAGGGGAAGAAAATAAGGAAGAAGAAGAAGGGGAAGAAAATAATTCTGATGAAGAAGCATGTTGATGGCCGCCACCCTATAGCAAAAAATAAAAAGCAAAAAATGAAAGGAAGCGAAATTTTGAAATTCTAGTGTTCCTTTAGAGGAGAGATTAAAGGAGAAATGACTAAAATAAAGTCTAGAAAATTTAAGTAATTCTTCGATGACCTCCACCATTTCCTGAATCCCTGGCCATTTTGAGCTTTTTTGCTTGACTATAATTTAGCAATTTAGCAAGTACATTTCGAAGGAGCTCTTCGAGCTGGGTAGAATTATACCAATATCGAATAGATTTGGCAAATCCTAACAAAATTAAGAAGCTGGATCCTCTCTGTAAAAGCTTTTTGTTCCTCTGCAAGGGATTAAAACAAACGATCATAACTTTGTTCAGTTAAGTCAGATTTTATGTATTTTAGTTATATTAGACTCAGCTCGAAGAGCTCTTTCGAATGATATATAATTAGCCATAACAAGATAACAGATGTCGTAAAGGGATTCAGGAAAATGGTGGGGGGGGGTGGTCTCGATCGAAGCATTACCAAAATTTCTATAATTTTTTTCTAATTTTTAAGCAAAAACAAAAAAAATTAAGAAAGCAAATAAAAAAAACTAAAATTCCAAAGCAAAGAAAAATTTAAGAAAAAATATTTAAAAGTTACATTTGCTGCTGAACATAGTTCCGCACATTCCAAAAACCCCCCAGTAACAGGAACAGTTCTTAAAGGCTCAGTTCCGGCGATAGAAGAAACATTCCGTTGCAAAAGAAAAACTGGGGCTTCTTCCGAATTACATTCCGATATTAATGCTTAAAAATTTGAAAATTTCTCTAAAATATTTGGAAATTTTATGAATAATTTTTAAGTCAGTTCGGAAGTAAGGTCTACCAAAAGTCTTTTTTCTTTAACTGTCAAATACTCAGTTTCCGGAAGCTTCTCGATTTTTTATAAATTATTTATACACAATTGATAACCTTATTTTCGTAATTATTTACCAGATGAGGGTCGGAATTCCGATTTCCGACACTTCTATTTGTTCCTACCCACCTCTGCTATTTACTTTAATTTTTTGTACTTTAATTTACTCTTTTTTAATTATTTTTACCCGTTATTCTCATTAAATATTTGTGTGTTGACTTTATATTTTTAATGTTCTATTTATTAATTTAGGTTAAGGTCATTTATTTTATTAACCCATTTTATCAAGATTATTATTCTTGACAGAAACAAAAAAGAAATTTTAGTTTTACAGCTCTGCTAACACTAGTAGCTTTCTCATGTTTAACCAAGCTACTATTAGTCTTACTAAAGAAAAAGTTGCTTTTAGGCCTTAACTAAAAAATCAGTAATCTGATTTAGAAAATCTTTATAATATTGAATAAAGATTTAAATTTACTAAAAAATATCAAAAACTAAAATTTTTTAATTTATCAAAAAAAAGTTATACTTAAAAAACTAAAATTTTAAGTGAATTTGAATGTTTTTTGAGCACAACTTTTTTGCCAGAATTTCAAAAATTTTGATTTTTTGGAAATTTATAGCTAATTTAATTCTCTATTAAATGATACTAAAATTTGTTTAAAAAATTTAATTTTTAGATGAGTTAAATAATCAAAAGTCAACTGAGGTAGTGTTATTTTTATTTAATTTTAGAGCATAAAAATCAGAAAATTAGACTTACGTATAGAATAAGCCTGACATTTTGTAGTTAAAAATGTTAATAAAAATGAGAGAATAAAAAGGAGGGGAAAAGTTGGAATTTTTGTAACCATAGAGGTTGTGGATAATTTAACGGAATTTAATTAAGGGAAGCTTATTTTTGTTGTTAATTCAAGAAAATTGCTGTTGTTTTTGTGCTAATCTCTTATTTGAAATATTTTTTCTTTAAAATAAAAACTTGAAATATTCTTTAAAATTTTTATTTTCACTTTAAAATTTTTAAAAAGAAAAGTCAAAAAAAGCTCTTTATTTGCGCATTTATTTAAATGGATGGTTTTACCAAAAATTTTCTTGAAAAAAGGAAAAAGCGAAAACTACGACGATTTGGAATACATAAATATATAAAAAGAGAACAACAACCAAACACTTTCCTTGCCATTTTTGGTTTTTGGAGAAGGGAGGGGGGGGGGGAGGATTTTGTAAAAAGGCGGATATATTTGAAGAGAGATTGGAAAAGGGGAGAATATTCTTAGAAAGGCAAGAAAGTGATTTGATTGAAATGAAAGAGAAAAAGAGATGTTTGGGGAGATAAATGGACAGTCTAAAAATTGGAAAAGAAATAAATATGAAAAATAAATAAATATAGAATCTAATAAAATTTATTGGAATTTTTAAAAATTTTTGTTTGGCAAAAGAAAATAAAAATTATTTAAATTTAAACAAACAAAAATGTTCCTTTCAGCCTACCCTCTGTTCAAACCAGGGATCCTGCCGACAAACATCTAAAATTCCCGATTTCGGTAGATCGGTATTCCCGAGAAAAAATAAATTCCCAATTTTTGGGAATCGGGACGGCAGGATCCCTAGTTCAAACCGGCCAGTATGGAAGCTTGCACATAATTCGTTCTTGTACTTGTGTACGAGAGATGAAAATAGGCCAAATGCGAATACGAGGAAATTTTAAATTTCTAAATACTGGTCCGAACGAACAATAAAAATTACATATATAAGGAGAATTATTGCTAATTTTGAATGATTTAATTGACTTTCTAAATTATTAAAATTAATGCATTCAAAAATAAGTAAAATAGTAAATCAGTATTACTTTTTAATCTTCCCATTGGCTGAAAAAAAATATTGAAATAAATAAATTCGTTTATTTTATTTTAAAAAAGCCAACAAAATCCGTTATATTTTAATTTTTTAGACCCTTCTTAATTTGTAAAATGAACGATCGTTAGGTAAAGGGAGAATTGCAACGGCAACCCAATAAATTCACAAATAGCCTTTGGCGCTTCTTTTCCTTTTTTCTTCACTTTTTCTTTGATTTTTCGGTTTTATTTTAACCAACAAACTCCCCCCCTCTCCCCCCCTCCCTTCCCCCATCCCCTCCCTCCCTTCACCCTTCCATTCCCCCCCCCCCTTCCCCAATTCCTCTCAACACAATTTTGACCTAAATTTGGAGAGAAAAATTTTAAAGGAATTGATGGATTGAAGTGAAGAAGAATCCCCCCAAAAAAAGTCATTAGAAGGATAAGTTAGTTAATTCATTCTAATATATTTATTGCTCATTTTCTGACGTAAGAGAAGAAAAAAAAAGCTTTCCTTCCTTAAAATTGGCTTTTCAACGACGGCAAATGAATAAATAAATAAATATTTATTTTTAATGAAAATTCCTTTTACTTGTTTCTGTTACGCGATCAAGAAAATTAAAAGAAATTAACACGATTATTATTTAAAAAAAATAAAAATTAGAACAATAAAAAAATGAAAATTCTGATAAAAGAAATATGTAAATATAAGTAAATAAATTAATTTTTGTGGATTATTTTTATAAAGGACTCGATTTTGCTTAAGAGTGAACTGAAGATGTGGAGATTTAAAAAAATATTCTAAAAATATATATGTATATTTAAACCAGACATGGACATGGATACGGATATGGATAATATCAAAATGCCTGCGGATATCCGCCTGTATCCGCCGTAAATATACAAAAAAGTCATTATGCGGATATGGATACCAAGATCAGTGGTATCCATATCCCATGCCTGTTTTAGACTTGTTTGGGAAAAACTTTCAGATATGTAATGTCTTGAAGGATTGATCTTGAAGAAATCTTGAAGAAATCTTGAAGAAGCACTTGAAAGTTTAGTGCCAATAATAAAGAAATAATGGCATACTCTCATTGTTATTATTATTAAAAAGGAAAAAATAAGTAAATTCTGAATGGATTAACAAAAAATTTTTAATAATTATTTAAATAAATATATAATTACTTGACCTTTAATAAGTGGATATATTAATCTAAATTATAAGGAAAAAATATTTTTGTGATATGATCTATTCTGTCAATCTTGCATTTATTAATCGGGCCTTGACCTTTTTATTTGAAAGAATTTCTTTAATATTATTTTTATAAAATAATTTTATAAAGAATAAAAGTATATTAGAAATTTATTTAAAAATGGAAAACAATAAAAATAATTTTAAAAAATTTTGAAAAAATTTTTTTTTATTTTTTAAAATTAATTTTTAATTACTACGGTATTTTTTAAATAACTACGGTATTTGGCAATGAAACGGCTTAACAAAAATGTTTTGAAGGGTAGGGAACACTTGAGTCTCGCACTTTTTTTAGTTTTCTTTATTCTTCAATGTCCTTGTTTTTTCCATTTCATCAACCTCAAAATTTCTAAATTAAAAACCTTATGTAAAAACCATTTCCATCATCCACGAGTGGATGCTGTTTTTATTAAATTAATTTTAAATGTTGGAGCTGCTCCTTTTATTGTTGATTTCTTTGATACGTGCTTTTAATATAAAATTATTGTAAAAAAATTATTGTCATCAGAAAAATTACATCTTTTTATTTGACACCCTCTTAAGAAATGTCCCGAGAAAAAATTGCTTGGAGGGAAATGAAAGTACCAAATTTTTTTGAATTTATTTTTAACTCCTTTCATTAATTAATTTTTATTTTATTTTAGAATTTAAATTGGAAATTATTCAATCAACAACAAAATTTTAAAGATGGCTGATCATCGAGTATTCTTTTTTTTTAGTTATTAATTAATTTAACTAATTTTTAGTTTGTTAAAGTCCGTGAAGATGGGGAAATAGTTGCTATTCCTCTGTCATCTAATGGAAGATTGGCTTTGCATATGCTGAAGATTGCTTTCCCGCGTGCTTATGGCTTAAAGTATACAGATCAAATTGTTCCTACCAGACCTAATCCATCAAAATATCTTGTCTAGTATTTTTTATTTATTTTTGAACAAAACTTATCTTTTTTTAGTTTTGATGGAAAAGAATTTTTTTCTGACCCGATTGCCGGATGGAATGGAATTTTTGAAGTCTTGTGTACTCCGCCTCCTGCCAGTCCTCCTAGAAGACCTATGAGTGGTTTGTCTTTCTTGAAATAAATTATTTTCTGTTAAAGTTTATTGATAGGTTACGCTTAAAGATCAAGACGGGACAAAAAGTAATTTTTAAATCTGGTGAAGGATAGGAGTTTAAATATTTTTTGTTTTAATTTATTAATTTTGTGTTTGTGTATATGTTGTCTTTTATAAATTGGTTTTCTTTTTACTTTTTTGATTGGAATTTTGTTAAATTTCAAATATTTATTTTTGCGAATAATTTATATTTTTTGATTTTTGTCAAATTCCAGACTTTTTTTAAATGGCCGACAAATTTTGTGCAGAGGTTATTTCAATTTATACAAATGAATCTGATCAAAAAGTTCAAACAGAAAAGTTTTTTATGTGTTTAACTTTTAAATTAAAAATTAATTTTTTAGATTGTGTTGTCTACTTGATCGAGTTCTTTCTTTAAATAATGTTCCGAATGTTTCTGTTGAATCTTCTCAATTAATTGAAATTCTACAAAAACTTGTTGAGACTGGTATTTTTAGATATTTTTTTTATTTTATTTGTAAGCATTAAATTTTGGCTTTTTTGCTTTGCCGGTCCGCATTTTTCCTTTCCTTGCAAAGGAAACTAATGTTGTGTATGGAAAAGAATTTTAGTTTAGATAATTTAGAAATAATTTAGTTTACTCCATTTTTATGGCCCTTTTACCTATCTGACTAGGGGTGCCGGCCCGGTTCGGAATATCGAGTCGGGCATCGAATTTTGGCCCTAAAAAACTCGGTCGGGCCGTGCCGAAAAAAATGGCTCGAACGTCGGCCCGAATCGAAAACGGTAACCCTATATCTGACCATTCGTATTTTTCTACCACTTATGGGCCGAAAACTTTAATATATTTCTACATAAGTATTTGCGGACAATTTTTGCCGAATTTTCGTTCCCAATATCAAACCTCCAAAAATTTCTTATTAATATTTTAATTTTCAGTTGTAAACAATGAAAGTACAAGTATGGTAGTTTCTCGTCAATTTATTGCTGACATTGCCGATCGTTTAAAATTGATAGTTGCCCACAATAATGATTTGGTTATTAATTTGGCAAATGTGGTTCTTAATCAATTACAGGTTGTTTTCTTAATTTTAGAAGAATTTTTGTTATTTTTCTTTAAAAGGCTCGTGCTATTGCTTATGAAGAACAAAGTAATCAAATTCGAATAATTCTGGCTGATTCTTATGAAAAAACTGGAAATTTTGAACAAGCTGCTCGAACACTTGTTGCTATTCCTTTGGAGACTGGACAACGGTTTGTTTTTAGTTTAAAAAGATTTTTTTGTTTTTCAGTGGATATCGTCCAGATTTCAAAATGGAACTTTACTTGCGTATAACAGAATTGTTTTTGGAAGCAGGGAATATTTTGGAGGCGGATAGACATGTAAAAAGGGCTTCTTTACTTCAACAGGATGTGAAGGATAATGGAGGACTTTTGTTAAGATATTCGGTTAATTTTCTAAGCTTTTGAAAATTTATTCTTACAAGGAGAGTTTGCGAGGTTTCCGACCTAAAAACGGTCGAGAGGGCCATTTGGAGGCCCATATCTTGGCCAGATAAAAAAACGGGCAAAAAAGGCTCAAAATCCTTGTTAGAAAGGGCACATTCTCTATCGAATGAGCCCGGTCTCGACCGTTTTTAGGTCGGACTCTCTTTGTTAATGGGTATTGAAATTAAGTAATTTTTGGCATTTTCTGTTTTTAATTTTCTTCATTAAATTGTTTTAGTTCATTTTTTCCCTGTTGACTTTGTTTCTAAATGTCTGACAAAGAACCATCGTGAACTACCACCAAAAATTTTCAAATAAAAATTATACTATCGTGTAGAGCATGATCGCAAACCGCTTACCTATTTTTTCTTTTTTGACCCTGACCCCCATTTCGTGTACCATTTTGGTCTAACTTCCTGACCTTTTTTCATTCTTGTTTTAATTCCTCATCTATGATTAATTTTAAAATTAGGAAATTTTTTTTCAAAGGCTCTCTACGCTCGTGTTTTTGATCGTCAAGGTCAATTTATCGAAGCAGCATCGCGTTATTATGAAATCTCAATTAAGCAAGGACTTCTTCCTTCAGAAAAGAAACAAATACTTCAAAATGCTTTAATTTGTACTTTATTGGCACCTCCCGGTTTTTTTAATTTTTTAGAAAAATTTCAAAAAAATCTTTAGGACTTCAACGTAACCGTCTGTTAAATACTCTTTTCAAAGACGAACGTTGTCAGGGATTGGCTTGTTATCAGCTTTTGAAAAATATGTATTTGGAGAGGCTTATACAAAATTCTGAGGTTTTTTGACAATTTTCTGTAAATTTAAATGCTTAATGGGATCGCTTTTTAATTAAATGTTTGAATAATTTTTGGATGGATTTGGGAATCTGTATCTTTGTAGAAGCCTCGTTTACCTGACTAAAGTCGTTTAGCTACTAAAATTAATATTCAAAAGTAGGCCAAGACAAAATTACTTTTTCTCATTTTGGGTGCTATCTTTGGTCAAGAGATACTTAAATACACAAATTTTTCTTTTCTTTTACTAAAATTTCCTTTAAAATCAGTTGAAAGAATTTGAATTATTACTTATGCCCCATCAACGTTTACTCGATTCTGAAGGTTCTTCAATTTTGCAACGAACTGTTGTAGAACACAATTTTTTGGCAGCATCGAGACTTTATTCAAATATTTCTTTTGATGGACTTGGACAATTATTGGGTGTTTCTTCTAAAAAGGTTTTTTAAATTATTTTAAAATTAATTTTTAAAAAATATTTTAAAGGCAGAGAAGATCGCCTCTCAGATGATTTCTAGTGACAAAGTTCATGGGAAGATTAATCAGTTGGATAGCACTGTTTCCTTTGAAAGTGAGGTTTTTTTGATTATAAAACAATAAGGATATTTGAGCTAAACAGTTGGATTGGTTCCGTATTTTAAGCATCACAATGTCTTTTTATTGAAAAGATTTTACTTTTGTTTCCATTACTTTGTTTAGGTTTAGGATGGTGGGTGCCTGAGATCGTCCATTAGTTTATTTGCACCTTTTTTGGTTTGTTATACATTCAATCTTTAGTCCATAGTAGAGATCGGCAAAATCGCATTTGTAGGATCCTGTAACAGGATTGGGTTTTAAAATTTTGAACAGGACAGGATCCTGCAGGATTAATCCTGAAAATCCTGCCAATCCTGTCATTTTTTTCCAGGATCCTGTACAGGATTTCGGGATTTTCAAAAAATCTCAGAATTTCTCAAAATTTACGCCTGCGGCGCTGAAAATCAAAATTTTTGGCTAATATGTCCCAACTGAATCTTCGCTAAAAAAGGTTGTTCCCGTCATTGGAACGTCAGCCCCACTTTTGGAACACTTCCCCCATCACTGAGTCAACATCCCTCGTTGTTGGGTCAGAAGTTTGAATATTTCAAGTAGTGTAAGTCGAGTACCAAGTAATAGGGAAAAACCTAGTTCAAGTAATGCCGCTTCGGAAGGCCAAATTTCTCGCTATATCCTTAGATCCCTTCAAATATCCGAATATCACTAAAATCCAGTAACTTCATTCAACGATATAAGTCAAAATACTCCTTAAACTGTCCAAATCCTCTGATATACCATTCAACTTCCCTTTACGCAGGCAAAACTTTTGGGATTTTGGTGCCAGATTTCTTCCTTTTTCAGCGCCGCAGGCGAAAATTTTGAGGATTTCGGAAGGCCAGGAAGACAAAAATCGTCCTTTTTCAGCGCCACAGGCGGAAAAATAAAATCCTGAACCGTAAAATTATCAGGACGGATCCTGTACAGGATTGGGTTTTAAAATTTCATACAGGACAGGATCCTGAAGGATTAATCTTAAAAATCCTGGAATCCTGACAAAAATGAAAACTGAAAAAAAGGCAGGATTTCGGACAGGATCATGAAAAATCCTGTGCGGGATCTGTCCTGTGCCGATCTCTAGTCCATAGCTGAGGTTGGGGTTTTTCAGGCTTCATTTTTATTGGGCCAGACCGAACGAGTCTTTTTCGGGCCAAATTTCTATGCCCGACTCGATCTTTTGGACTCATCAATTTAATTTTTAAAATAAATTTTTGCCTCTCAATTTTAATTTTTTCCAGATTCTTCTAATGACCGTTCCGACCCTCAAATTGTCTCAATTTGTGAATTAACGAATTCAATAAATGAGCAATTGTCTGCTCGATTTCCGGAATGGCATGCTGAAGTGGTTAAATCTTTGCAGGATGGCAATAATAAAGTAATTGTGGAAGGAAAGGGTGAAGTATTAAATTAAATTTTGATTTTAAAAATATTTTCGATTTTTTGTTTTAAACATAATTTATTTTAAAAAATGTTTGGAAAATTGACTTAATTAAAATTTTGGGATTGTTGAGTCTTCAACATTTCCGTTAGCTTATTAAAAATAGAACAAATGAAAATGCAAGATTTTCTTTCTACGATCGCCAGCTTTGGTGATTTAAGGGATTAATCTGCAGCAGGAAAATAGACTGAAATTGATGAAGGAAGTTGGCCATTTTATACAAAGGAAAACAAAGGCAAAATGCCTATAAATTTGATTAAAAAAATGAAATGAATTTAGTCCTTAAATAAATTTTATTTAAAATTAAGCAGAATAAGCATTCGATGTAACTCGTCCTCGTTTTCCTATCAAATTTGTATGTAAAGCAATTCTTGAATTAGAAATAAGCGCCATCATGGCCTTGATTTTTTAAAATAATTTTTCAAAATAAATAAACCTATACTTAATAAATTAGCTGATAAAACTTCAGAACACTAACCAACAAAAAATACTAATATCACATTAAATTCATAACAGCAATATATTTACTGTTGAATCATTTTTAATTTGTCTATAAATAAAAATAATTTTAATTAGGATAAGGTCAAAATGTTTTTATAAATTTGATTGAAAAGAACTTTTCCTAAATATCGCAGTCGAAATATCCCTACATGTGGGCAGTCTCAAAATATTTTTCCTTTTATTGGCGAATTATTATGTATTTTTAGGGACAC